TCCCATCGGTGACAATGAGAGGAGACTCCACTCGATATATCCCTACCGCCGCCAATTTCACCCCTGATTATTGCCGCAAGATATCGCAAGAACTAAGTTGTCGCAGTAAATATCGGGACCATTATCCGCTAATGTCGATAACGACATTTTTATAAATGTAAAGATCATTAACTTTATTTGTATATGCGCCAGTGCGCAGATCCATGTCTGTCAAACACGCGGTGGAATACGAAGAAACTTACATATTTGAAATATAACATAAATATAAGAAATATAAGAGAAACATATAAGAAAAAGACTGATACAATTTATTTTATCTTTTTATATTACGATCAGGTGTAACCTGTGCTAAAAAAATCAAAGGAGAATTTTTTGAAAATGTTATTCAAATCGCGACCTTATCTTTCAATATTACAATCAAATGTAACCTGCGCTAAAAAATCAAAAGAGAGATTTAATAAAAACGCGATTCAAAAAGACTGGCGTTTATCGCGACCTTCTAACTTTCGATGTTAAGCATCCGAAGGTATAATCGAACCTTGTACTAAAACTCCATTAACCAACGTGAAGTCCATTAAAAATTTTTTTAAGGAATTTTTTTTTCATCGATTTGTTACCCCCTTGAATACGTAATACGCCGGGAATATTACATAACTTTGTTATTAAGTCTCCTAACTTTTTCACTACCGGGGAAATTAACATAAAACTCCCCGGAAAAAATCTACAACTGCGCGAGAAAACGCGCGATTAATGATGCATACTGCGTTCGCAATCGGAAGCGAGAGAGCCGCCAAATATCCTTTTTCATAAAGCACACGATCGCGCGCGCGCGCGGGTATCCATCGGGTTATCAACGGCGTTTCCCACGGGGGAGGATTTACGAGGCGGCGCGCATAATTTTCGTTCGCGCCGCTTTTTCGTCACGGCTCGTCGTTTCTCATTCGCGCGCGCCGCGCGTAGAGTATATCGCGATTTAGCGCGTACACCGGGTAATAAATACGGCAAGTATGCGCGAAGACACGCGGCCCGGCGCGGCGCGACGCGTATTTATCGCCGCAAGAATATCGATTCGCGCTTTTCGCGCGCGCGAACGGCGCGCGGCGTTATTATCGCCGACGTACGTCGGACGGCATGTCGGATTGGGATTTTCCCGAACGGGGGAGCAGCCGCGTTTTCGTTTTAATCGAAATGCGATGCACGCATTCGTGTAATTTCGTAATCACCTCGCGCGCAACGGAGCGGCGAGAGGGCGGCGCGGCGGGCGAGAGAGAGCGGCGAGAGGGGTGGGACAATGGATTGAATTGAAAAACACGGCTACCCGGTTCGATCTGACGGATTAAAAAAAAAAACCTGGCGGGCGTGTGAAGTCTCGCCGTCGCGAGAATGATGCGATAAACGATCCGCCGCGCGCCGCGGAGCACCGGCGTTAACGCGTTTAAACGTTTTTAACGATAATCTGCATAACGCCGCGACGAGCGCGATACGCGCGCGCGTCAGACGCGAAAGTTCAAAAGCTCGCGAAAAGGTAGGACGGGAGGAGGTAAAGTGGACGCGGTAACGCGCCGCGTATAATTACCGCGAATTGATTGCCGCGCGGGAATAACCGGGGCCGTTTATAAATTCAATGCAAATATTCATCGCGCGTTTATATCGCGAACGGCGAGATTGCAGCCGCCAATTAGTCGGATGCACCGACTTCTGTATTAGTTCTTTGTACGACCGTGAAGCGGAATCGCGGCTCGTCGGCCGGTAAATCGAAACGCGGCTCAATTCTCCCTGCTGCGCCAGGTCGAATTTTTGTACGACCACGCAATTTTCGCGAGCGAAAGGACGGGTCCTGCTTCGATCGTTTGTCCTCTACTGTTGTGACCACGAATAAATTAAAACGTAATTAAGTACCGTAACACTTGTTATTTTATATTGAAATACACACGCAACAAAGTACACGGTATATAAAATTATACATATAAAATTCTTTTATCCTGAACAATTTTTATTTTTAAATACATCGATATTATCATTATTCGTTTCTTTTTCCTGACAAATAACGAGTCGATAATAGATCGTAATGCATTTTGTAAGATTTGTTACAAGAACAATAGAAAACTGACAGAAACTTACTTTCCAGTAGTAGTCGTAGTCCTTTTGCCTTTTGTCATGTTTGTCCGTGGATATATCAGCTACTTTATCTTTATGCCTTCAGAAAAAAAATATCTTTATCCCATTGTGAGAAGTGAGCTGCTTATGCACTCGTTCACACTATTCAAATTCTCTAGAAATTATGTTCTAGAGACGGTACGTATTATGGGACTTTCCGGAATAGATACCGATCAGAATTGTTTAGTTATTTCCTAGATTTTTATTATGTTTTCTAGGCAAAACAAAATATAATTTCAATCGAAATCCATTCCTAAAAGTTCCACAATATGTGCCCTGAAGAACAACAAAAGTGTTAACGTTTTTAAACATTTAAAAATTTTCTTATTTATCGCAATATTTAAAAATAACGTTTTATTAGAAAGAACGAAATATTTTTAAAACTACAATGAAAGTTAATATAAAGATGTCGTAAGTTGACGGAAGCACTTCAACGGCCAACAACGACTCGATCCATGATAACATTTTATACATTATCTGCCGATGACAATACATAAGAAGTGTTGGTATACGATATGTTACCGATTGTAGATAAAATAGAATGATTAAAATAAGATTTTCCATCATACGAATAATATAAAAATATTATATCATAATTATTTAAACAACTCTAAGATATAAAAATGACAGAATTTGTGTATAATAAATAAAATGAAGGGAAGAAGAGTGAATTAGTTTTTCAACGTCGCGGCAGAGGACGCTGTAGTCTTTTCCTGCACTCAAATACGCTTACGAAAGGGATAACGTTAAACAAAGACAGAAAAACCATATTATCGAATCCATTTTTTATGTGGTTACTAAATTTTGAATAGATCCTTTTATAGATTTTTTATACACTACTAATAATAGACTATGTTGAGAATAGAGTTAAAAATTGAGGATAATTTTACGATTTTTATTACGGAGCTTCACTTTCACGCTTCTTCACTTTCAAATTATTTGCTTGTCCGCTCCAAACCCTTTCAACAACCGCCTTTCAAGCGAGAGGATCAGTTACGCGAAAAGCGTAATAATGCGTGATCGAACAAAGCGGAGCCTGACACGAAACGCGGCGCATGACCACGCGGTGGCACACCGATAACACGCTCGAATAATAAGGATAGCGCCCGCAGAGGATACAGGGTTGGATACGCACGCGTGAGCCCGCGCGTTCGGGGTCCGTCTTCCGTTTCCAGTCCGGTCACTATGATGCGCGATGTGGAACCGAGTCGAGGCACTGTAGGTAGAAACACGCGGACAGCTCTATCGCGCTAAAAATTTTTTGTATACGGTGCCTGTAACCTCGCGACTGCTATAATTAAATCGCAATTAAGCCACAATCTGACCTGTGCTTGTACAATACGCGATATTTCAGCACCCACGAAATTGTTTTTTTTTTTTTTGAAGCTAAAACATGCTGAATCCATTGACCATTCTCGTGTATAATAGCGAACATTATATAAACATTAAATAACGTCATAAAGTTTCATTTTACTTTTCTTCCTATGTTATTTTGCGCAAATACCCACACAAGCTAGACCTGCACAAGAACAGCGCAATTTTTCAACAATTGTACACCATTTGTAATCGACTGTTACACTTTCAACTCAATTTTACTTTTAATTCCTCATCACCTCTTTACCTCTTCCTCTTAATGAGTACGCGACTATTTCTGAGAAAGAAAAATAATTCATATCCTTAAACGAGTTGACTCTATAACTCGTAAACAATTGCCAGATTTTTTTTACTAAGCGGTTTTTACTTTTACGTAAAGTTTCGGTCTTATACGATTACACAAATTATCACCGAATGAAAAAAAATTATCCTTAACGGGTTAATTTCGCGGCGTTCCGCGTCCTGAACGCTCACTCTATTTACCGCGCGCACTTTCTTTCCGCGCCACGTACTCCGTCGTCGGCATCGCGCTACTTCTCGGACATGAGCCCCCTTTCGCGAGATTCCTATTCCTTCTTTCAGCGAAGAAATCGAACGATCACGGCATTTTTGCGGCCAAGACGGATCTTTATAATACAGTCGCATTGTCTCCGCAACTTTCTCCCGTTGCGTATATAAAACTTGCGCCGCCATGTGTCACGTGGTATAATAGCGCAACGATATCTGTACTCCATGGACCTTTACGACGATAAAATTTATCTGAGTGGTTTAACACTCACGTCAATCACGGTATCTTTATTGATTAGGAAAGAAAACACTTCTCGGGAAAACATTTTTCGTATATATAAAATATGTCCCTATATGTTTTCTTTCTGTCATGAATAATCTCCGCTTGGTATATATAAGAAAAATAATAAGAATAATTGCAAAATAATTAAAAAAATTACTTTTACATTGTTCTTTCATAAAAAGTAAAATTGCAATTGATTATACAATATTTTATACGTAATTATATTTTATACATGATATATAGATGTAATAAAATATATAAAATATCATTATATATAATCATATGTAATCATATTTTATATATTATTATATTTATATATGATTATATGAGTAATTTTATCTCATCTCCTCAAATTTCACTTTTTTGTAAAAAAAAAACGATGCAAATATTATCCTTTCAATTATTTTTCAATTCTTTCTATTATTAATTCTTGTCTGCACAAACAGAGGTTGTACAAAAGAAAGTAAACATATATATGTATGAGGATATTTTATATATAATTATACATATACAAATATTTTATTATGTTAATATTTCCTATATATATGTATATTGTAAGTTTATTTCATGAGAGATGCTTCTAAGTTTGAAATTTCTGCAATCTGAAATTTTATGGACCGATCCAATAACTTATCAATAAATGAAAATTGAACGTTTGTGAGTGATAGAAGTTTTTTAAAAACGATCGAGAAAAGATAATGACAGACAGACAGATGGAGGAAAGAGAACTCAAGTGTGGGTGGAATAGTTCGTAGATCCAACGAAGAGAGCGCTGCTTTGCTCGGTTTGTGCGGAGATACGACCCTTCAAACTCGAAGGCGGCTCATTCGGTCGGTGTTTACCGCCACCGGGCAGATCGTGCGCGCTTTTACGTGGCTGCGATCGCCGTCGGCGACGTCAGTGACGAGAACTCGTGGATTTTGTCGAAGCAAAATCAATCGTCAATCGATCTTACGCGACGCAGTGCGAACCCGCGACGGAGTTCTCAGTTATTAAAAAAAAAGCGTTTTAGTTTATTAAATAAAAAAAATAATTAAAACATTAAAAACAAAGTTTTAACAAAAGATTCGTGTTTTTTCCTAAGATTGTTTTCGCCGCGCGGACGTGACGAGGCGAAGCGATAGTTCTCTGGTGAAAGCACCCGGCTCGATCATTTCGATCGCCCCGCGGAACTTTCGCGCTGTTAGGCGCGGTAATAAAATGCGAGCCTCGGGCGTGCTCGCGCCGCTTCAACGGATTTCCGAACGGGAGACTCGCGAGTGAACGTTCCGCGATTACGAGTGATTTGCCCCGATCGATCCCGTCGATGGCGAAATCCGCGGCAGAGAATGGTGCGTTTATCTACGAGCGGGATCTATGACTTGGCGAACGTATAGGCGCGGGTGTGTTAACGGATCTGTATCTCCGCGCGAATTGTGCTCTCGATCCTCGATACCGCGCGCACGTGTACACTTCACGTGTCGATTAGGCGCGCTCGCGCGCAGATCATTTTCTTCGAAGGACGTAAGTCGGCTGACTTGAGAATCCGCATGGGAAACTTGGACTGCAAAATCCCCACGAATATTCGAACCTAATCCTCATAAATATTCGACCTGTCGTCACACCTTAACATGATTAGTAAGCGTCGGATTATCGGTTCCGTCACGTCATAAGTCCCCAAGCGTTCGCCAAATCCGTGTATCTTTCGATCTTGCGCGATCGTCGGAAAGCAGTCGCCCTCGGACGAATCTCTTCCCCGAGTCAGTCGACGGAAGATGCCTTGATCGAATCCTCTCTGGTCCCCGCAAAGATGACGCCCGATCGCTCGATCCATTTTCCGGTGCTCCTCCTCTTCACCTGCGTTTCTCGCGCCTTCGTCCTCGGCGAGCAGCAATTCCTCGAGAAGCCGCCGCCCTACCAGGAAGTGTCGTCCGGCGACGATGTGCGGTTGCGTTGTATAGTGCAGGACAAGGGTGGCGAGTGCATCTGGCAAAAGGATCGGAGGCCGGTGGGCAAACACCCGGACAAGTACGAGTGGGCGAGCGGCCGCGGCGGCGGCGATTGCACCCTTCTGATAAAACGCGCAAATCTGACCTTCGACGACGGCGATTGGGAATGCCAGGTCACCTCCAGCGACTTCACCCGCCAAGACGCGCTCTCGTCGGACAAGTCCAGGCTGGTTGTCAGAGGTGAGAACTCGATTTTATTCCGTCCACCTTCGGCGGGACCTTTACGTTTGTAATTTGTAGGTATATACCTTTCAGTTTATCGCGGGTGTTTTCGTACTATTTACTATTAGAAAATGAGGAAGGAGTAATTTTTTGTGCTGGTAAACGGGAAAGGAATAAATATGTTATGTTCTAAATAATGGATATGATGAATTTTACATATATGATTAATTAGCTATAAAGACTCTCGATATTAAAACTAACGAGTAAAAAGATTTCATAGCTCATAGTTTGAATTTAAATATATAGTATTGTATATAGAGCTGTTATACACAACGGTTATATAAAATGGTATAACTCTTATATGAAATAACTACGTACATGATCTACATTTGCGTGGTATATTTAAATAGAACTAGGTATTTACTAAAAATACAAAGACGATGCAAATGAAATTATTATGAAAAAGTTGGCACAAATTCTTGTACTCGCGTATAAAAATTTATTTTTTCCGTTTTGCCCGCGCGATTAATGCACGTTTATATTTTGACATAATTTATGCAATCTATTGGCATATTCAGTGCACTCGCGAATATTTCGTTAAAGCGCGTTGGAGTCGTTCGGAAGCATCGTTAATATTCCGCGAACATTGACCTCGAGTGATGCAAGGAAACACACAAAGCAGCCGTTATGCTCTACTTTCCTGTAATTTTGCAATATCCGTGTTAATGGAAATTTGGTCAAGAGTGGCTCAATCGGCTCCTTTTTAGCTATTCCTCCTGGTAAGAGCACGGTAATGATAAGATCGCGGTCATTACTATTCGTCCGACCGGAGTAAGAGCAGAACCGGAGGTAGCCGAACCTAAACATAACAATTTCTGTCTCGCTCTATCTTATTTAAAATGCACCCTAATGCGTGTTCCAGTAAAACCCCACAAACCTCAACTGGAATACGCGAGGGTCCCTTTGGGCGCCACCCTAACGCTGAAGGAGGGGCAGGAAGTAAAGATTTCCTGTGTGTCGAGATACGGAAATCCAGTCGCTCTCATCAAGTGGTAAGCTGACACTTTGTCCTTAAAACATTTGTATTGCGTCGCGATGAAGTTACTCTAATAACATAAAAACATAAAAATATAAGAGAAAAGAGATACCTATAATTTAAAAAAATGGAAAAAGAAAAAAAAACTTGAAAACTGAAGACAATAAAAATGTATATGGCTATATTTATAAAAGAGTCTGTCCCGGAATGTCTGATAAGTTTTAAAATTTAATGCAATGTGACATGGACGTCCAGAGAAATAATGTTTCACTTTACCTCCCTTTGTTTACGCACTCAAGTTACGAGAAAATCTCGTACGCGCGATCATTTCTCACTAATTGTAAGAAGTGTTCTAGCACGATGCCGATAAAAAGGAATGATAGAAAAAAAATGTTGAAAGGTTCAGAGTTTATACCCGATAATTACAAATGCATCCATTTGTATCTCAAACGGTCTTTTACGGTCTGAGACAGAGCGATTAGGAGTTAAACAATTTTACTTTTGGGCGCAATCGGCTGGCTATCGGAATGTTGACCATACCTGCCGATCTTGATGGGACGAAATCTCCATTACAGTCGGTTAAAGGAGTATCAGATAATTTATACGAGTAAATTCCTGAGAAAGTAAACACAGCGAGGGAAAAAAGAAGAACATCTTCAAAATAAATATTTTCTTTAAATGCGAACTTTTCCATCTTCAATTATTTTCGTAATCCAGACTTACACACAAATACACAATTCGTTCCTCGGAATTGAAATTTTTAAAAATTCTCAGAGATTATGCAAGGAATATTTATCTTTACCAAGAAGGACACTCGCAAAAAAATTTGTGTTTTTTTTTCACAATCCTTGGCCGAGAGGATATTTATATACCTGTCGGCGTCGGATATCGGTCCTCCGGAGCGATTCCCGAATATTTACCGATACGACATCGCAATAACGACATCCCGACTGTTTTGTGACCGTACTGACCGCTAGGAGGTCCGAGATAACACTTTCGGATTGCGTTTTTGCGACCCGGCGACGCCTCGTCGGGAGGCTAAGTAGCGCGCTTTATGCACATTCCTGCGCATAAAGCGCATACACGGCTGCACTTGTTTTCTTACCACCGCAGAAAATACGGCCGTTTTCAAACGTGGAGCATCACGGCGCGGCGGGTTCGTATATACGCAGCCGGGTCCGCTGATCCGAGAGCCGGTCTGGTGCAAGAAGCCGTGACGTTGTGTTTATGCAGGGGAAGGGCCGCGCGGAGGGATCGTCGTTTTGGTTTACGGTCCGCTGAATTTAGCCGCGCCTTATCTACGTTCTTATGCGATGTAAAACATCTGTTCCTCACGATGGCACGCGCTTCTTTTGGAGGCTTACGCTCCGGGTCGCTCCCAGCGGGAGCGAGCGAGAGGGAAAGAGAAGCAGCGGGTGTAATTTAAAGCCTGTACGGTGGCATATGTAGCCCCTTCACGAAGGGGGGCGACCCCATTGATGAATGGGTCTTTTGAGAAAAGCTAAGTTTCCGATGCGGCTCGTCATGTGTAACTTCTCGGAACACACATGTATGTAAATACGTTTGAAAGCCGTTCTAGTAGTCTCTCACAGGCCTCTCCTTTGTACGTATCTCTTAAACTTGTGCGTCGGGTGGGTCCGATTGTAATTTAGCCTCTTTATTTTACTGCGTCCGAAGTTACGACCTTTTTACTTTTGCACGTTTACGTGGAAGACACAGCGCGGCGGCGCGGCGGCGCGGCGGCAGCGCAGCGGCGCAGGCGGTTCGATCGAATTGTTATTTCGGAAGATTGTGCCCCGGTAACATTCGCGTTCCCACGCATTTATTTTTAGGGTCACGGGTACTAATGAAGAATTTCGTCCGGTGGAACTCGTCTGAAACAATATCGACCGCGCATTCTTTTACGACCGATAATAGCCACGCGGTTTAATGATCCCTGCCCGGTTTTCTTTTTCTTCGCGTTGCGGACACGACCACGCCGAGTATAATTATGTAGATTATAGCCATAGAAACCGAGAAACTGGCCGCGAGCGTATAGTCCCGCCGCCGCCACCGCCGCCGCGCCTGTGAATCACGCGCTAGAAAAGGGTACGGATACCTTCTCTCTCGGCGGCGCTCTTCTTTTTTTCTGGGAAGAAGGCCGGGCCCGTTCGACGTAAACCGATGAATTTATGTGAATCACTCGCGGAAACGATACTGCACACGGAACTGTATGGTCTTGTACTAATCACGAGCATCCAGCTTCCGTTTGCGCGTTTTCACGTGACACAGTGTCGAACTGGACATATGGGACGAAGAAAAAGCATAGGAACCTTCAAATACGTCAGAAATAGAACATTGTTGAAAAAGATATTATATAATAATATATATATATATATATATATATATATATAAATTTCACAATTTTGAAAGAAGATGTAACGTATAAAACAATTTTTAATTATTATTGGTATTGTTTTGTAAAACAATAGATATTATTTCTAATCATTCTGTATAATTGACACACTGAAACCGCGAAAAATCAATTAAAACGTTTTATATTTTATTCCGATATATTTTAACGTAAAACATAAAATATCTATTTATTAAGAAAATTGAATTACATGAAAAGATATGATTCTAATTAAAGGATCGATGTTACTGATGTCTCATAAAAAATGCATGCTCTGAAAAATTTATTGCAAGCATTTATAATCTGTGTGTTTAAAACTGTGAGATATATCCTAAATTTAACGACTGGATCTCGCATCTTATTGATTTTTTGCCTAATCTGGAATCTTTTTTTTTAGCGAAAATGTCGGCTAGTGTTTGTCACAAATTTCCAATTTCCGATATACATTAAACTATCCTTAGAACTATACTGTTAAATTTGTCATTAATTTAACTAAAACAATATTGATTTAATTAAACCAATGGAGTTAAAATAATACTGTCTGTGTTAATAATAAATTTCAATACACATGGTACATATGGTAATTAGAAATAACAAAAAGTTATTTAACTCAAGGTATTGACTAAATTCCATCCTTCAATATTTAACAGTGTAGTTCTTAGATTACAAGTCTGTGTTCGAGTAAAGTCTGGTTAAAATTAAATGAGGTGTTAAACTGTCTGATACCTGGGGGTAATGCTTTCAAATTTGCCTGGCAGGTTTATAGGGGACAAGGAGGTGGAACCCGAATCGGCGCAGAGCAACGCAACGGAGGTGGATAATCCGAAGACCTGGGTAGCTCACAGTGTTCTACGGGTGCATGGTCAGAGGGAGAATCACGGTCTACCGATCCGATGTGTGACCATGCATCCGACGAGCAGCGCACCGATCAGCGCAGAGACACGACTAGACGTTTACTGTACGTGTAATCAATCTCTATTAGAGCTAATAAAACCAATTAAAAGTTAATACTATAAAGTTTATCGACATCCTCAAATATCACAGAATAATCAAGGAAACTTGTCGAAAAATTGTTAGAGATAATACATCTCTTCCGGAATAAATGTTATAAGGGAAAAATTAAAATTCTCTTTGTCTGTAACAGTTCCCTGGTGAAAAAAATTTCTCATATTTTCAGAAATTTTTTACGAATTTCTCATGTTTTATGAAAAAATATACAATTTTTCAGATCCTACTTTCAGAAATAATTAGATGAGGATTTTCGAAATATTTTAGTATCTGTTTAGTATATATGAAAATTTCTGATAAATTGCGCGGGTTTTCTCATATTTATTCAGATTTTTATAAAAATGTGTTGGCAGAAAAAATCTGAAGTATTTCATTATTATTTCGTTTGAGTTTTTCTAAAAAATGTTTCAATTTGTATAAAAAATCTAAAAAATTCTGAGACATTTTTCCACCAGGGTTCTCTTTATTATAACAGTTTTAATTCTTCGAAAAATTTATCTTTGCAAACTGTCAATTTAACGCATTAAAAAAAAACGGATGTCACACGTATTAGAAAGTTACTTTTAAACATATGGTTTTTACTATTGTAACACGAATCTAAGATAACTTAGGAACAAGCGTTAGGTTTTATCCTCCTAAGCTGGGCAAAGTAAGATCAACACGTGCATCACAGCAGTGTCTTGCGGTTTCAGATTCGCCGGAAGTGCGACTCGAGATGAATCCGCAGCCGCTCACAGTCGCTCCGGAGGATACAGTGAGCCACTTGAACCTGAGGTGCCTGGCGGACGCCAATCCGACCCCAAGCATCAAGTGGTACAAAGACTCGATGCCGCTCACCGCGTCCTCGCCGTCGGCGTTGCCAAAGCCGGGCAAAACGACGCTGTTAAACGGAACCGTGTGGGTCTCCGAATTGAGCTTTGATCCGGTCATAAGGTCCGACGCCGGCCTGTACTCATGCAAGGCGACGAACGACGTCAGTGAAAGCGTACCCGCGAGTTACAGGCTCGATGTGCAATGTTCGTAGAATTACATTATGTCTTTCGCTCCGATATACTTTGCCATTTTCCTTTCCCTCCGTAACTGTCTAAAAGCGATCTACGCAACGCGTCTTTCCTCGAAATGACAAGGTTCCTCTCTTCCTTCATAAAATTGCGTCACATAAAGTTGTTATGCACAATTATATAGAGCGCTACTGTGAAAGTTGTACTTCTTGAACATTTAACTCTCTCTCTCTCTCTCTCTTTCTCTTTCTCTCTTCTCTCGCGCAGAAAAATAAAAGGGAGATTCGAAATATCTACACTCTGTTAAATATTAAAGAATGATATTTAAACCAGCACCTTGAATTAAATAACATTTTGTTATTTTTAATGTGTCGAAATTTATTATTTTAACACACACACAAAACGGTATTATTTTTAACGGTATTAACTCCATTGGTTTAGTCAAATTAACGTATTGGAGTAACAGCAGTAGCGAACTATAGGAATGATTAAAAATGACTGAAATTGAGTATAATTTGACACTAAATTTAACAATGTATAGACAAGATTCAACGTAGTTGTAACGTTCGCCTTTAATATTGCTTTATTTATTTATAAATCAGTATAAATAAGAATCGTTTATTCCATTTGCTATCTTAAAGCGAGCATACAATCGACAGACACTCGGTTGCGCATTTGCTAATTGTGTTTCTCTGTAGATAAACCACAGTTGAAGAACAAAGGAAATGGCACATTCCCAAACGTGCAAACGGCGATGTTAAACTCCACCGTGGAGGCCTTCGAGTGCCCCGAATACGAGGCGAATCCACCTGCTCAATATACATGGGTGCATCTCCGCGGTAGCTTGAAAGAGACGATCGAGAACCGTGTGCAGAATAAAGGCGACGGCCGACGTCTGTACCTTCAGAATATCATGTGGTCCGACGAAGGCGAATACCGTTGCAACGCCTTCAACACGATCAACGGCGTTAGGCAAGAGTCGACCGTCTGCGACACGTGCAGCTACGTGCTGCACGTGAACGGACCGCCGGAAATCCAGACCACTGGCGGTCGAGACTTCTACGAGTCCGTCGGATGGGCCGGGGAGCCCGTGCACAGGCTCAAATCTCGATTCTGCTCGCTACCGTCACCGAAACTAGTCGCCTGGCAGTGGGGCAGTTCTCACATTCGAGCCGGTACAGAAAAATATCTTTTTGCTAAGTAGCGGTTTAAATCAGGTCTCGCGGCTCAATTCTCACTTGAACGTGAATAAATCTCTTAGTTAGAAATTATGCAGTACTTATTTATCTTTGTTTCAGAAAATAAAATTCCGATTGTAACCATCAAGTAGACAAATTTAGATGATCCAGTTCGATTGAGAGTTCAATATTTGATAGTCGAGTCAAGTCGCTAACAAATCGTATCTCTGCTCCACGTTTTTTTTTATTTAGTCTTTTAATTTTTCAACAGGAGAGAGCATTCATCCGAAGTACGAGGCTCTGCCGTTGGAGCGGATCGTCGAGAATAAGATGGGGACCAGCTGTTACTGGGCCAAGCTGGAGATTAAGGAGCTGCGGAAGGAAGACTCTCGGATGTACACTTTATTAGTGGAGAGCGACAAGGGCCGGGACTCGACGAACATCATGTTGATAGTGAGAGACCCCACAGAGATGCGCGTGATAGCCGCGGCCGTGGCGGTCGGTCTGTTATTCCTGCTGCTGCTGGTCTCCGTCAGCGTGTACTCGTTGCTGAAGCTGCGACGTGGACGGTACCGGCAGAAGGTGGAGGAGGAGGGCAGCATCGCGGCCGACGCGCTCTATGGGAACGGCGCGTCGTTGGACCAGCAGAAGTCTATCAATTCGTCCCACGCGAAGACTTTCGCCAGAAAGTCCAGCTTAGACGGCAACCAGAGCGTGTACGATTATAGCCGCATCGCGAAGCAGACGCGTGCCATGAGCCCGGAAGCATTGAAGGTCAGGAGAGCACCCATGGTCCTACAGCCGCCCACCATCGTGTAAAATATGCGGACTTCCGTCTCTCCCATTGATATCGAATCCCCTCCCTTATCGTCGAATCTTGCTCCTCTCAGCAATAGATTCTACCTTTGTTGTAGTCGTATCTCTTTCTATTATTCTTACATCAGTCTACTTCCTTCTTGAGATATTTTTACGACTTACTCTAGATTATACATATGTGTAAAATCAGAGATACTTTTTAATTACTTTAATGACGTGATACGCAATGTGTATATTTGTATCGAATGTTATAGTCTGATATTTATATCGAGACCTTAACACAAGTGTTCTCGCAAGACTGCCAACTGTTGTTGCGTATCTTTGTATCGTTAAAAATTTTTTAAATCTTTTTTTTCTACATTTAAGTTATTTATTATACCGTGTTGTTCATAGTATTTTACCGTGGTAAGGCAACAATAGCAATCTGTCCATTCGAAATGCAGGCACGTCGTGATAAATATTGTATGAAGAACTCGCGTACCGGTGCAAAGTATAGTCCACGTCGTCGAAGCGGAACGAAGCGTAACTTTAATAGCGGTCGCATCTCAGTGATTTTAATGGCGGTTGCGCGACGAGGCGGGATCAGTGCAAAACTGGACCTCACGGAAACTGTTATATACAGTTCCCGATTTTGATACTTCAACCAAGATGGAATGTAGAAAGAAATTCTACGAGCCTCTTATTTCGAGAATGGCGCAAAACATTATTTCGACTTTACATATGTTCGAAATAGATGACTCAAGTAGGAAATAAGCATCTTTTTTGCGACAATCATTTATTATACGAAAATAAATTATACAAAACGTATTATTAAATAATATATATATGTATACATACATATATTATATACGGTGCGTGCGAAATCGTAGTATAAGCGAGAATAAAGTAATTTCTCTCTCCCAAAATAAGTCAAAATTATAAAAAAAATTTTTCATGCGAGGCTGTTTTCGAAACGATTTTGAAAATCTATCAATAAACATGTATTTAATACTACGATTTCGCACACACCCATGTATATGTATACATATATATATATACATATATAATAAAATAGTATTAGAATAAATAGAAAAGGAACAATCTTTTTGTTCATGATTGCTGGAAATCACCTTCTTGTTGCTCCTGTTTCAGAATAGCCGAGTGCATGGCTTTTAAAAATTTGGATAATGTACTTTTGATCGTGGATGTATGAAGAGCATGCGCTAAAAATGGTATTTTTCTTAAGGTACGACCGGTTAAGCCTTCGCTCTCACGGCTAAGCTCCAAAAGTTTTAGACTATTTTTGGTGTCTTCATATTCTGCGTATCCAAGAACCTTTAACTGCGATATGTCGTGTATCTCTTCATCTTCCAAAATTCCAGTCTAGAATTTATATATGAAATAATATATATTAGTATTAACCAAGGAATATCATTGATACTAAGTAGATATTACTAAATAAATTTAGTAATATCATAATATGGAAGGGTAAAAGCCATAGTGGTGTAAGTCAAATTTTTAAAGATATTGACTCGTGTGCATAGATGCAATCTATACAATATATTGTATCTATGCACACAAGTCATTATTTTAAAAAATTTGACCGTGTACCACTATGGCTTTTATCCCTCCATATGTCTTGTATTAGAATCGTAAATTGCAGAAAGTGCTAAGAGATGTATTACTTCAACACTATAATCGATATTTATATATTAAGTATTTATATGTTATTGCATCTCACAGGATTAAGAAGAGACATACATACCCTCATTAATTCTTTTAAGCACGAATGATAAATATTGTAAATAGCAACCTCGGATGGGTATCCGAGATACTGCTTTATGTCCGCTCGATCGACGAACGCAAGATCTATAGCTTCTGTCATATTGCTCGTCGTTAAAATTAAAACGTTCGGATACCGTTTGATTTGATCCAACTGCGTGAGCAGTGCGTTCACAACGCGTATAGAATCAGACGGTTCGGTGCCGTTGCTGCATAATTTACGTGCGTGAGCTAACGACTCTACCTCATCGATCAGAATGCATATCAGTGCACTTTCGTCCTGAACCAAATTCTTTATTTCGTCGAACAACTTCATAACAAGTTTCCCACTCTGCAACAAATACAAAAATAACACTAACTTTAATATCGAATGGTATAATATGTGAGTCATGTTACCTAATTGTGAATATTGTTATTAATTAATATATAGATTGAATCTTAAATTTATTTCTTTTATCACAGATTTTAATCCTACATTTCACCGTCCCTTTTCTAAAGCGAGGTAAATAACAGTCAGATACGTACCTCAGAAAACCATTTTGAAAATAAGCTGTGGCTATTAATTTCTATAAATTTTCCATGATTAAAGCGATCTCCCATACGAACAACAGCTTTTTGAGCGAGAGCTTTGCACATACTGGTTTTGCCTGTACCTGGAGGACCGTGCAACAACACCACTTTATTCCAGCTTATAATGTTTGAATTAACAGCGTGATCAGAAAATAACATTGTAGTCTCCACGAAACGTAATAACTAAAAAAAAAAAAAGAAGAATGAAAATTAAAAACAAGTACTAATATAAAATCACTGTATGAGATACACTGCAAGTAACTGCGATGATACGTACAGCAAAATCATTTTATATTTCTAAATTGATTATCTATTAAATTTACTAACGTTATTCTTTATATCACAATCGTAATACAGATTTTCCCACATGTAGTGAAATTCCTGTGCAGGTAACAACCAGTGACATGCAACTGGCAATTCATCAGAGTCACATGTTATCGTTTCTATGGCAGCATCCTCCTGCGTCAGTCTATAGACATAATACTTGATGGTAGCTCCATGAATTTTGAACGTTCCCCTCTGAAATAAATATATAGATATATTTAGGCAAATACACAAAATCGTTTCGCAATAAAATGTGAAAATTGACAATACCTCTACATAGTCAGACGAGAATATCATGGACTCCACATGATCTTTTATAATTGTATTTGTAAAATCTTTGCCGTATAGAATAACATCAAGAGGAATCTCTTCCAACAAATGTAATTCTGAATTGACCGTTTCTTCAATTTTGGTTTTCGACAAAGTACTAAAACAATAGAATAGATGTAAATCAATTAATGTTATCGAACTGAGATCAAGTCCCTGTAAAGTTTTCATAAAATTGATTTCAGGTGCAATTAAGTGCAAACTCAAGTCCTACTGAAATTGATTAGAACTATCAGAACATTTGAAACCTTTTTATCAATATTATATTGATTTAAAATATTATAAATTATAGTCCCAATAAAATTGTTTCAATAGTCGAAGAGAGCATTGCTTCGTAAGGAATACATTTAGTCTTTATTTTATTACAAGGTTCACATCTCTCTCAATATTCCCATAGGAAATTATCTAATAAATAAGACTAAGAAATCACTCCAACTATTTTATCATGACAGTGCCTCTCAATATTACATGACATGTCATTTTTGCAAAAAAGAATTGGCCAATCCTTCCAGAATCCAATCTCTTTCAAGGTTAACATGAATATAACGAACGAGACGATTCTAATCGAAAATCAAATCAACATATTCGTGACCCTGTCGACAGAACGTGTCCAAACCAATTCGAACAAAGGAGTGAGCAATACCTGCTGGCATGTTGACATACTTCTACGTGCAACACGTTCTCCTCCGGATTCTCTTCGTTCATCTCGAGCGTTCTTACGAATTTGACGGGGTAGGACAGGACAATTAACGAGACAAGATCGGAATGGATCCCTAATGCCACATAATAGACGAGATCTCGGTGAAATCGCGTGCCTCTCTCCGTCGACAGACGCCGTTCCGCCTACTTTTGCGTCGCTTCGTCCGGCTTGTGCCGGATTCAAAGTTTGAAGTCGTTGTTGAGCCATGAAGTGGCGAGACCTAGAAGCCGGCGGAACAGAAGTCCAGAAGTGTCTGGCGGATTCTATAAGACTTTCCAAAACGGCCGGCGATCGAGACGCCTTTATCCGTCGTAGGTAATTCCAGAGAGTTCTCTCTGGCTCCGGTAATTCCGAGCGTTTCTAGAAACGTCGATTCGATCGCTTCTAGATGGTATACGTACAATCTAGGGGCCGGTCTCACAGTCTCCGATTAACGTGATTCTCCCTAGATTCTTCGATTAAACTCACTCTTCGTCTCTTTCTAGGGGGATAGTTAGAAAGAAATGCAGAGTGAGTTTAATCGGAGAATCACGTTAATCGGAGACTGTGAGACCGGCCCTAGAAGTCGACGCGCGACGTTTCTAGAGACGTAGGAGAAATATACGGAATGTCGTTCTATTTCGGGACATGATTTATTTTGCAGACTTCCTTGGATGGAGATCAGTTTCTTATTTGTAATTTATTTTAGCTAATATATATAAATATATGTATAAACCTCACGTTGTATTGAGATCTTTTAAAATAAAAAGTCAGCAGTCTGAAATTATAACAAACGAATTTGATTTGACGCGAATAAAAGTAATAATTGATAATAATAATTTTTAATAATAATTTGATTTTACTTGATATCACAAATTAACTAACATTTTCTATCTTTTCAATGATAAATGTTAAAAGTTATGAAAATGAAGATTTAGTTCATTTTTTTTTTTTTTTTTTTTAAAATAATTCCTTTTGAAAACTGTTCTTCGAACAATTCTAGCCATTTGATAACATCAATATCTTCGATTAATCTTACTAAACTGAATTTACAAACAGATATTCTAAAGCTGATTTCATTCTAAGAAATGTAAACATACAACTTCTTATATAAACTATATTGCTATAAATTTCTATAGAGATAATAGACATATATTTTCTAAAATAAGACGTTTATTCATATTTTATTCCTGGTCTGATGTAAAAAGACAAAAATTTGCTCACTCGCGACTATATTTTCCAAGATAAGATTCATGTTTATATTCCACACTCATCATAAAGATATTGGAGAACCCGCCTACCGGCGCGGTTATCATTTCGCCTGAAATTCGCCAGAACGTACGAGACGCCTCGCTCCTCTCGCTCGCTCACGTCTCGAAAGATCGAACCGTTTCTCGACGCATGCGCAGCCGTATAAATACGCCGGGCTACGCGCCGAGTGAGTTCAGTACGGTTCAGTACGCTATCAGAATCAGACTATCGGCAGGCGCAAGTGAGCGATCATAGCTGACTGAGCTGACATCAGCAGAGAGTTGCAACAAGTGACTCACGTCCACGCAAAAGCGATCGCGTGTCGTATTCCACTTGGAGCGTGTTCGCGAAGTCATCACTGTCCAGCGAGAGACGAATCCTGCGAAATGGACCTGGTACCATTCATTGCTGGTACAGACTGGGAGGACCTGATGTGCCAATCCCTCCTGAACCAGCTCTTCGACTTGGACGGTCGCCAACTGCAACGGGTGCCGGTAGTGCCGGTGCCGACTGAGAGTGTCAGGCAGAAGCTGATAGGACCGCAACGGCGTGACGAAGTGGACGAGCTCAGGGACATGCTGAAGCTGGCGATCAGGCGTTGCGAGAATCCGTCGCCCCCCGTCAACAAGGACGACTTCCAGGTGGTGCTGGACGTGCAGCAGTTCAAGCCGGAGGAGATCAGCGTGAAGATCGTGGACGATCACCTCGTCGTCGAGGCCAAGCACGAGGACCGGAAGGACAGGCACGGCTGGGTATCCCGCCAATTCGTCCGCAGGTACCCGCTACCGCAGGACATCGACGTCGACAACATGACGTCCAAGCTGTCCTCCGACGGTCTCCTGACGCTCGTTGCGCCGAAGAAGCGGCCGTTGAAGGACGAGTCGGTGAGGACGCTCCGAATCGAGTGCACCGGCAAGCCCTTCGTCCAGAAGCAGGAAAAGCCGAAGACGCTCGAGCAGGGTCAGCAGGGTGAGAAGGAGAAGAAGCAGGAGTGAGAAATGGACTCTTCGAAGTATTAACTGTTCATATTGTTCGTTAAATCAATATTATGTTCCTGTGTGTATAATCCTACGGGTGTGCGATAAATCTATCGACCGTTAGAGACGTATGAACTTTGATATCGGTCTATTTTATTTACAAGTTAGTCCCTGTGATATGATTAAAGTTACGATTACTTTTGTACGAGGGCGTTTCCAAGTCCATACAATGCATTTATTTAAAGATTATTCAATTAATTAGTTATTTTTAACAGACTGTCAATTGAACCAATAATATTTACTACTCCTAAATTAACTACTATCTCATAAATTAAGAAACATGACTTCCAATTTCATAAATTGCTCCATTTTTTATTTTTTATTAAAATTTAATTTCATTTCGATATCTGTGCTGTGGTAGCTAAACGGAAGAATTACTACTGAAATTGTATCATGAACTTTCACAATAAGATAGGATAGATGAGCTAGGATGTATTTATTATTAGGTGTAATCGCGCGCGCGCGAATAAAGGTCCTATAGTTAGTGTTAGGTGAAAAGAAGTATAAGTTTTTGTTTTTGTCTGGAACATAGAAAATTAATGATCGTAAAACTGATGTAAGACTGCGATTATTTGTCAAATACATATAAATTTTTTTTTTAATTATACTGGTGTCATTTTATTATCACCCTATTGAACTTACCACTTTCTTATTCCTTTATCTCATTGATATAGTCACGTTTATCATTGTATACATATTTATTTTCGAGAAATTTTCTATGAAGTAACTTATTCTACGCATTATTTTAAAACCATAGGATATCTTTAGCTTATAATTTATTTTTCTTTAGCAGAAGTTTTGATAAGTGTCAAAAATCTTCGAATAAAAGTAATTAAACGATTGAGAAAGGAGAACTTAATCTTACGAAGCAAAAGATGGATAATAAAACTGTGATATGTGATACAAAAAATTAACAAGTTACAGTAAATATATAAATCTCTTCTTTCCTTCGTTTCCTTCTGTATACCGATGTCGATAATTAAAAAACTTGTACGACAAAGTTTTATTACATAAAGTTAAAATGTAATTAAAAAGGTACACAATTTCTACATACTAAATTACACATGTACTTATAGGAATTCTATATACATACATTATTTATAACGTTGTAGTTATATTAAATTTAACTGTCATAAGGTCATAACACAAAGCATAAATTTTCCTACAATTCATATATGTATACAAACTGTAACGTACATACATGATAATCTAACAGCGTTCTGAAATTTGTTAGTTCATTATCCTGTACAGTTTCTTTTATTTCTGACACAATTTCTGACTCGACTTCTTTTAACAGTTAGTTTTTTGTCAGCTTCTTAGAGATTCTTAGATTTCAAGGTTACATATCTTCCACTTGATATGCCGACTGGCACTCAAGTAATCTCGATGTTAATGACTCTTTCCTTTCTTTGTGTCTCTTCTGTAGCTTTTGATTTACTTATTGTTAGTGCCATGATGGTCAAGACTGGTCAAGATACAGGCCTTATTTTCAACTATCTTTTACCAATAAAAGTACGCTTTTATTTTTGAGATGCTATAATTTACGTTATATATACCATAGCATTAAATAAAAGCGCACTTTTTGATCAATAAAAAAGAGTTGAGAATATGGGCCATACCCGGATAGCACATATGTCTGAAAGATGTCTTTAAGATGTCTTTTAGACATGCGTGTCATCTCGGTAGTCTTCATGAAAATGAGCACATCTCCCTGAATGTACGTACGATTGACAAAAAAGATGAAAAGAGGAAAGAGCCATTATGCAAATGCCTATTGTGTAAATCTGAAAGCTATTCGTTTTGCTTACTCCATAAGGTTCTTTTCATGAAATATAGTAAATATATATTTGGGCATTGAAAAGAACGAAAAACATAAGTAGAAAATATGCAAATAAAACAAACGGATATATATAAGCGTGCAATGTAGATATTAATAATGTAATATGTGTTGATTGAACTGAAAATGTACAAATTTTATTAAAAAAAAAAATCCAAATTGAAATTTCGCAAATCGTTATCCACTCATCATTTGATGCAAACTGCGTTAGTCTTTTTTTAATTATGTTAGAAATCATTAGAAAATTAAACAAGTTTAATAAACTTTATTATCCGAATATTTCTTTTCAAATGTCTCGTTTTCTTGAAATAATTTATGATGAAACTGCGGTAGAAATGATTCATCCTGTACCGAGTTCTAAAATATTCGATATTTTATAACACGCTTGTTGCACGTGAATGACGAACGTTCAGCGTTCATAAGTACGTGTTGTCGAATGATCAAGGACTTTTCAAAGTGTTCGTGAGCGAAAATATTTAGATAACGATTCAAATATAATGTTTCTTGGCAAGTTTCTGCAGATAAGGATATTAATGATGTGTATTATTTTCTTCAGTGTTAACACGTATGTCATTTTATTATTTCTTACGCCTAGCATTCTAGCGCATTGCACTTCCATATTTTATATTATTTTTTTTAATACATAATAAGAAAATCAACGTAAATTTTATTAATAAATATATATATATAGCTAATATATAAATAAGTTAATATATATACATTTCTTAGTTAATATATAAATAAATATAATATATAATATATAAATATTATAAAAAATCGATATGGCACTTCACGTAATTCGCAACTATTGACGTGCAATCGACAATGCAATTTTCTGACCAAACCTGCATGTTTGTTTTCTATTCCTTGTACGTACAATGATGGATGAAAAGTGTTATAATTGCGTGATATTGTTAAACAAATGGTAATTTCCGTAACACCTTTGCTCATTCATCGTGTTGACTTTGCATGTCATCTCGATTCATTTAACCGTCAAATGTGAGTGAATTGCGTCATGCTGTTCTGTGCCACTGACGTAGCTCAATTTCGTTCTTCTAAATGTTTTTTTTTTAAAGAAAGCTAACCTTTTTCAGTTTTGACCTTTTTAAATCTGCACAAAATTATTATATATATGTAGCCTATTGAGATGAAACAGATAATTAATAAAACCTTTGTTATGATATATAAACGATCTGAGCATGTATTATACCCTGTGGAAGTTTTCTGACATATGCGAGAAGATAAATCGATGGAGATTGGAGATTCTTAACTACGCCGAAGTTCGAACCAAATAGCTATCGACAAACAGCAGAAAGGAACAATTGAGCATATCTCCGTTCATTCACCGTTTATTGTGCGGATAGAGGGTTGAGCAAATTGGCGGAGGATCTATTTTAACATAACGAGAGTGTAGCTTCCATCCGCGGTAATTTCTCGAAGCCCTGCTACGTCATAGAACGTACCTCGGGTATTATACCTCCCCAGTCCTCCCACCCAGGCCGAAAACCGTCTGACATAAATAGCGGACGCAACGACGGACCCGTGTCAGTGTTGAAATTCCCGTGCGAGTACACGAGGCATTGCATCCTACGCAAGCAGCGGGTAGTGCGCTTAGTCTCTTCGACGAAGCTGTGAAATCGAGATAACCGATTCGTATAAGCAAGTAGAGAACACATCGACGACGTCATGTATCTCCTGCCGCTGTTGTTCTCGAATCTCCATCTGGGACTGGACGCACCCGTCGGCTCGCTAGACCCAACTCTCGGTAGAATGAGCCCTGTCCGACCGGAAGACTTAACCCGCATCTACCCGACCGCCAGTTTCGACCGCGGGGTACTGGACTTTTACTACAGACCCTGGGCGGGGCATCAGGATGTCCTCAGTTCCACGATGATTGGCGACAAGGTCTTCAAGATCACCCTAGATGTGAAGCAGTACAAGCCGGAGGAGGTCAACGTCAAGGTGGTGGACCGTTGGGTGGTCGTCGAGGCCAAGCACGAGGCGACGGAAGACGACGGCAACGTCTTGTCCCGGCAGTTCGTCAGAAAATATCTGCTACCCAGTCGCGCTGAAGTGGGCCAGGTCTCTGCCACGATATCGAGCGACCATCTCCTGATAGTCACAGCGCCGATGAAGCCGCAGGACGAGAGAGTGATCAAGATCGAGCAGACCGGAAAGCCGGCCGTTTCTCCTAACAGCCAGAAAGAGGCTGGCGAGTCCGAATTGTCTGAAACGGTCCCGGCCGTCGAGAGAAAATCGGAGGACAACAAGGTTGTTCGGGAGGAAGTGACGGCTACGCAGGCACAGGAAGCAGGACCGAAGCCCGAAAAATGATAGACTGAATTACGGAATCTTTTTTTTCCGTTCTATTTGATACGTAATTTTGCACACGTAATTTGGTTGTTTAACACTTTGCACTTACTCCTACAAAACTACGTTCCTCGCTCTGTTGGCTATAACTATAATACATTCCTTATTGTATTGTAGTTACATTGTATAGTATATTATACTTTCTTTAGTGTATATATATTACCGATTATGAGATGCTTAGTGCCATACTAATCCATCCTTGAGAGAAATTTAGTTGTGTGTGTTTTTATATTGATGATAAAATAATTTTCTTTTATTCTAAGTTTTATTGGACTAGTTCAGAAGTGCAGCGAAAACGAACAGGCCTAACGATAACGATTCAGAGAATTCGAATTTCTAAAAAAAGGATCAATAGAAATTGCTTGCTGTATCAAATTTCAATGCAATAGCTTACGGTAAATTAAGGAAAAACGCAATTCAGCGCATCCTGAATGTAGGATAAGGATCAATGATTGGTATTCACAGTCGGTTCTTATATTTAAGACAATCTTAAGTACAATATTAAGGTGTCATGAATCAATCGCAGAGCCGTATTAGCATCCTAAGATTCTTAAGACATTATACTTAAGACCGTCTTGAAATAAAGAATCGACTATAAATTCCGGTCAATGATCTAATTGCGTAACACTTTTATACTAAATCTTTTGAAAATGTTTGTCGTTTAAAATGCCTGTCTGTTTTATACCTCTGTAATAGGCTTTTAATCAATTTGTAAATAGAAAAGTTGCGAGGAAAACAATTTTTTATCGAAAGAAACGTTTTTGTTCTAAACTAATTCTTAACAAAATTAAATGAAATCAGATACCAAAATTTACAGTTTGTGTTCTAATTTTTATTTATATTAATAGGAATAAATAATTAAAGATTTTAATGCAATATTTTGTCTGGTACTCTTCATGTTCTTGGATAGAAAAAAAAATAAAATCTTGAAAAAAATTCTTTCATAAAAGAAGAGATAATTAGCATGACATCTAAAAAAAACTTTCACCACCAATTTTTTTGTCTTATCAATTAAAGGTTTAAAAATCTATTTTTTTTTCATAATTGTTTCTTTTTCCCATATAATTCTTTTTAACAATCTTATCGACTAAAATGTTTAACTACTTAAAAATATATTTAATTTGACAGAATAATATATTATTCACTATATATTAACGCAACATGCGCGCATATAATAATTAGATCAATAATAATAATAGAAATAATAATAGATACATTATATGCATTGATAATAATAAAAATAAAATCGTCAGCTGTAGGTGTAAAAATACAGGTGTAAAATGAGAAAAACGTTAAAAAGACAAAAGTAGTAAAAAGATGTAATCTCTTTCAGCCTTCAGAAATTTGTTAAAACGTTCGTTAAAATGTTCGTTTAAACGTTTTGTACTTTTATCACTTGCCGTGACAGGTAATCGCGCACTTCCGTAGAAGCAAATATTCTAGAAACATTGAATTGCGCACATACAGCGCACGTATAAGAATAGAATTATTGCCCAGACTTTCGTTTAAAAAAAAATAATAATCTGCAACACACAATTGAACAAAATCTGTTGCCTCATTAATTAACCCAGTTCTTTTATAGCATTGACTTATTTGTTTATATATGTATACGTCCAATGATAATTTCTAGCAAATTATTTAATTTAACTAGAATAGATTCGAGAAGTGAATCCGTTGCATGATCGTATAATATTAAATTCAATCAGTCTCTAATTTGATTGAATAATTAAAGTGAAAAACCTATCGTTCATATCCGCTTTTATTAGAATAAATCAAAATTTTTTATAATATCAAATAATTCATTAACAGTCGCAGTCTTTCGAAATCAAAAGTTTCAGCTTCTTTTAGCATATCCGTTTTACGATTCATGCATTCGAAATAAAACGTCGTAATTTCTCGATCAGACTGGCGCGTGGCGCGGCGTAATTTCTCGATCGATCAGCTGATCGAAGCTTCTCGACCAGACTGATCGAAAATGTCATTTATTTTTGCCTGAGATCCCTTTTAGGTCTCATGTCCCTCAGATCCATATAAAAACGACCCTTTATGATTACTCTACTGTAAAGAATCGAAACCGGTATATTTCCGTTGAATTCAACTACCGGCGTCTATTGTCGCGAATTAACGGTCTCACTCTCTTTGTGGCGTCGAAATTCGAAGCCGGCGAGATTTTGCCGCTAAGTCACCGCGTGATACGACAACGCAGATTCCCGAAGGGGAGCAGAGGACGTAACCGCGAGAAAGAAATGTGTAAGCGCGATCGCGAAACTTCGAGTTTGTTTTCGAACCCTACCCTGCTCGCGCGCGTATCGATTCGTGAACGTTCTCGAAAGTCCGCGACGGATTCGCCGGCACATCGAGCACATTCGCAGCCGGCTCGCTCTACGCGCGTGCGCGCGTCGCGCCGGGTTGCCACGGCTATAAAACACGCGGCACACGCCGTGGACGACAGAAAACGATCGCGAGGCGAGTGTGATCAGTGCGGATCAAAGCCATTCAATTATTCAAAGCGAATCCGTTGCTAGACAGCGAACCGGCTTGACGACAAGTCATTTCATCTTATCGGCGATATTTCGCTTGAGATATATTTCTCACGTCTCTTTCGAGTCTTTCCTGAGGAAAAAGAAGAAGGAGTCAGCATGTCTCTGGTACCGTTGTTGTTCTCCGACTGGTGGGAGGACCTGGAGTACCCGCACCGGCTCTTCGACCAGAACTTCGGCCTGGGCATTCACCCGGATCAACTGACGCATCCGAACATCGTCGAGCGTTTCGCGCTGCCGCAACGCGACCGGCGTCTACGTGTGTCACCCTTGGCCTATTACCGGCCCTGGGGCGAGCTGTTGCGCAGCAGGGAGGACGGCGGCATGTCCACCGTCAAGGCGGACAAGGACAAGTTCCAGGTGGTCCTGGACGTGCAGCAGTTCAAGCCCGAGGAGATCAACGTCAAGGTCGTGGACAAGTGCGTGGTGGTCGAGGCCAAGCACGAGGAGAAGCAGGACGAGCACGGCTGGATCTCGCGGCAGTTCGTCCGCAAGTACATGATACCGGAACAGTGCGATATCGATCAGGTGACATCGAACCTGTCGTCCGACGGCGTGCTGAGCATCACCGCGCCCAGGAAGGACCAGCCGAAGCTGCAGAACGAGCGGGCGATCAAGATCCAGCACACCGGCAAGCCGGCGATCCAGGAGAAAGCGCAAGAAAAGGCGCAGGAGAAGGCTCAGGAGAAGAAGAAGTAAGAAGTAGAGCCGCGCGAACGTATAAAAAAGACTTAATCCTATATAACGTGTATACATTATACGATGTGTGTTTCTTGAAACGTTCTTATATTTTATGTTCATTGTAGTATTCTTAACGTTCAAGTGTATTGTTCCTTTCTTACGTAAGTTCAGAAACATTCATGTGTTTGCATTTATCTTTTTCTTTTTTCTTTTTGTGAGATAATGGAATAAATCGAATAAATTATTCCGGTGAAACTGAAATCGAGTGTCTTGATCTTTCATGTCCCTTTGATCTATCCTATTCCATATTCCCTGGAGAGGATCTCCTACTAGAAATTGTATTAACGGAATTAGTGTAGTGTTGGATTAGACAAGATTATCGGATTATCAGTGAGTTAACAGTAATGAGCTAGTAAGCAAGAGATGTAAATTGAACGAATGCTGAAAGTTCGTTTAAGGTATTTGACGTGAAGTATTTGAAATGACAATTCATAATAGTAACATATAATTCGTAATAATCAAGTTTGATAATGTACATTGTCTTTATTTTATTTACTTTCTCTCTGATCTTGACAGTGCCTGTGTGCTTTAACAGTCTTATCATTGTATTTAACATAGCAATTCATAATATAGTGACATAAATTCATAATTCGTAATAATCAAGTTTGATAATGTACAATTGTCTTCATTTTATTTATTTTCTTCCTCAGTTTGATCTTGACAGCGCCTATGTGCTTTAACCGTCTTATCGTTGTATTTGAAATGACATGATTCGCATAATATGACATATAATTTATAATTCATGATAATTAAGCTTGATAGCTGTGATATCGTCTTTATTTTATTTTCTTTCTCAGTTCATAGATCCTTTCGTGTAGAATTAACTCTTTGCATTTGAAAATAAAACGATAATGCACGATAAATTTAAGTTTCGCTGGAATTGTCTAGGAAGCATAAAAATAATCATCTGTTAGGTGGTGACAGTTGTTTCGTGACAGTCGAGACGAAGATGAGTTTTAGGATTTTGGTAGGGGCCAAACGACAGAGAAGATTTTATTTAACATAGCTCTGTCTTTATTTATTCCTTCTAGATTATTCTAGAATCTTCTCGAAAAATCCCTACTGATCGTCACAAAAGAGAGATTACAGAGACCTCTCTTGGAAAGAGTCGCAAATCACGGATAAAGCGAGCCTATACGCTGTACTGTTATCTACATCTGTTTTAGGATTGACAATGTGTATCTATTTTTGCCACTGTCGATAAAAGTATATCTCGAATTATCAACGTGACAAATATATCATAAGATAATATAGATTCAGAATTTAAAGCAATCCATCAGTAACTGTATTCTGTATTCAAAAGTCTATTTCTATTCAACTTATATTATTGTGTATGCAGAATATAAAAAGCTGTTCCCATTATCTCTCTAATAAATAATACATATATGTTTAAAAGTAGAAGCTAAAAGTAGCACACACAATATGTACGTTTTAAATTTTTCATTTTATTGCGTAATGGCAATGCAATATTTTAATGGATATTAGGATTTAAAAAATATGCCTAAGTAGTTATAGATTTGCTATTTCATACGTTTGTTAGAAAGAAAATCAAATCTATACCAAAGAGATGCGACTGACATTTTATCATATAGACATATACAATATACGTCTATATGCATTTTATACTTTCAACCTATAGACGTAACAAAAAAGTAGCAAACGCTATTATTTTCGCATACGTTTCTAAATTATTTTTATTTTCTCTCAATGTATCGTACGAATTTAAATTAATTAATAATTAATAACAATTAATCAATATAATAATTAATAAATGAATATTTTCAGACTCTCGTACGAGTCTATAATTTAATTATTGCTGTGCAACATGGAACGATAATCCAGATAAGTCACGCATCTGGTGTGACAAGATGAGTAGATTACGAATAACCAAAACGATCGCGAGTCAGACAACGAATCTGTAAATAATCCCGAAACACCGACAAACCGCGTAGAGACAGACACGTAAGAAGAATCCCCTACGTCGGCAGTTGCACGACAATCGGCAGTCGGTCGAAAATAATAGGCGGATGAGACGGTGCGGTGGTGTGAGTGGACACTTCTGGTCTCGAGTCGAGCGCGCAAAACGCGGAGAGACAGCCTGAAGTCAGGGAAAGGGGATGGAGCGTGCTTATCGTGCATCGTCTCCGACTACCCCGCGGGACCTCACCTCTTCCTCGGCTCTACCTCGACACTCCCCGATCTCTCAACCACCTTTCTCCCTCTCTTTCACCTTTTCCTCTCCTCCGGATTTCCGCACTCCTCCCTGTACCGAAAGCGCCTCCAGCTGACGTTCGCGGAAAAAAAAAAGAAAAAAGAAGCACGAGAACGCGTATGTTGCGAAACGTGTGTGTCTCGTTCGAATTTCGCTACTAATTAATAAGAAATGCGATGCGGGAAGGATCGTCGAAAGAAGAAACAATTAAGAGGAAACGTCTAATTACAAGCGTATTTCTCGGGAGATGCTTTACAGCTCTCATATCTCGTCTTTCTTCTTTTTTTTTCTTTTCTTTTTGATCTCTGACGAGACGCATTTCTTTCGTTTCAGTTTCCGTCTTTTGGAGACTTTCTCCCGGGGAGTCATCGCTGTGCCGAACATTTGACACAACGATGCTTCAAATGATGTCACGAAACCTTTGACGTAATCACTCTCTTAACCGAGCGATATCTGAGAGCTTCTGCCAGCACTTGTGATCGATTTTGCCGTCGTTCACCGAGCCATCGATAGTTACGTGCGACGATAATCTTTCTTCGCGATACTTCCTTTTTACGCCATCAATATACGTAATATGTGTTTCCAATTAATCAAAAAGAATTACGCTGTTTAACTTGGTTTTTTTTTGCTCAGCTGCCAGGATAATAAAATTATCTTGGCACAGGTATCTCTTATTTTTCCATCAAATTTTATTCTTAAGTTATTTTTTTGTTTCACATAATAAGACTCATATGCGCAAGTGTAATTCACAATATAATAAACGTTAGTTTATAATTTTTTTTCGTAATTTATCTAGACTATTTAACGAAAGTGAGAGAGAAGAAAATCGTATCTTCTTATCGAAGTACATGTCAGTTAGACATGCACTAACGTTCCAAACACGGGGATGCACAGAATGAAAGTTGTTCTTACCCAGATCGATATTTCTGAAGGATCTTTCCTTACTCTTCATTTTTTTCTTCCAATGTGTCCGACTGTTTTCCTTCGCGCAAGAAATACGACGCACGAGTGTTTGCGGCAACGCGTAAATGTCCGTTAGTCTTAAAGCCGTGTGCGCGAGAGATGTAGTAACGATATCGATAGATATGCAGTCGTCGCGCGAGGGATGAGAGAATGCGCCAGGAAACGAATTGTACAAGGAGCACGTCGAGTGATGCGGCACAGTCCAGTATTCCCAATGCTGTTCCAGGCCCGATGACCTGATTGTTGGCGGTTCGGGAAAAAGGCGCATTAAGAATTACCCACGAGGAGAGACACCAATTTACGATTGTTCGCCAAAGTATCGGCATTGTAAATTTAATTATTTAAAAATAATTAGTTAACGCCTACGCGTACGCACGTCAAATTCTTTAAGAGACAGAATATTGAATCTCGAACAAATTAAATTAGCGGACAGATTTTGAATTTAAGCATTTAAAAATGATTGTTAACGCATGCATTTATACACGTATAGAAAGTCTCTAAAAAAATGTCCTAAATTTGAAATAAAATTAAGAGTTTCGTATCCATAATTTCGAGACTCTGAATATATCTAGAGTGAAGATGCTGAACGAAGAATTTTATTCGTCGAGAGTACTTAATTAAGAGCGATACACGTAAAAGTATGAAGATCATGAGGTCGCGAGAATCATTTAATCGCGTCGAAATACGAGTAAAAATTGCACCTTCAATCGCGACACAATTAATTACCTTGCTGCTAATGAGATCGCGAGTAAATTAATTGCTTTCAGGTCACGGAGCGGAGAAGGACCCAGCTCCAAGGTGGAAATGACTGAATCAACATGAATCTTGCGACGACGAGTTTTATATGAAAAAAATGAAGAGAAATCGAATGCAGCATCCTTTTTTTATTTTTATTGAGTTTCAATCTTATGCTCTAAATATGCATCTTCTTTCGCAACTTATGTCTCGCTTTTGTCTTCTACCTTCCATGTGTACCGTTTTTCCGTTATATTTTGCACCCGTACATGCATACGTACGTGCACAGTCGCGGGATTTTGCATTTGCACACACGTACACATCGACGCGTGTGTATACTCTTTCGATAAGTGGCCACTCGACACCGTATACGAGCGAGACGAACACGTACCTTTCTATTCGTGGCACAATTTTCGGGGATCGATATATTGAGCGATGTACCGGTGACTTCAAATTGCGTGGTAGTTAGCGCCTCTCTGTCAGGGTTTTTTCGGCGAGAGAGTCCAATGAGAAGAGACGCAGAAAGACATGAACGGTGCATTGTCTTCCTCCAAATATCACAGCTGAATTTTTTATTTATTAACATTATTCAATAATAAGTATCTTCTGACACAGTTTATTGCATAATAATTGCCTAAATAAATTGAAGTATGTTTTAATCTCATAAATTCTCTTTCACCAATTTGAAGATTTTTTTTTGCGAAAATAGGAAGGTTTCGTTTACTGCACTTTTCCATTATATTTTACCTTAATTCGAGAATTTTTGGTTGCGATCAACAAATTTTTTCCCGAATATGCCTAAAAGGAAGTAAATCGTGAAGTATCAGCGACGTGATCAGAAAAAATAAGAAAATGCAATAAATTAAGAAAAAAAAATCTGGAAATCTCAGGAATTTAATCCCGGATAAGAGGAATAAAAAAAAGAGACTTGTAAACGTGTTTCGCGATTGTGCGAAAAAACGCCAGGAGAATTTACGAATACAAATCCGCCGCGATGACGACGCTGATATGCCGCATTGAGGTAAACCAATGACACGGGGTATCCCGCGGGGGATTTACCACCCCGTCTCCCTTCTTCCTTTCGCCGATCCAGCTCGCGATACTCCAGATTCTATCCATCGTACGTCATGAGCGAGAGAGAGTTACCCCTTCTTTTTACCGCCAGTACTTCTTCCCTCTGTGCCTCCGTTAAGTGGAGTAGGAGGAGGAGGTGGGATTGGTGGCAGGAAGGTATTGCCACTGTTACACATCACCTTTACAGCCACCACCACGACCGGCACCACCACCACCCGCACCACCCCCACGTCGTCGTAGGGAGCTCGTCTATACGCAACGATGAGGATTCTGCAGATTTGACAAAGTCGTTTCAAGAACTCAGTCGTCGACTGCCCGTCCTCGTAAATTCGGGGCACCGATTAGGGGAGCTTTAGCTCGCTCGACCGCGCCGGAACCCCGCTTCCGGATTACTTCGAGACTCTTAATTTTCTTTTTCTTCTTCTTTTTCTCCCTTTTTTTCTTCCACCTTGTCCCAAGTGAACGATTTTTTTTTCCTTCTTGTGTGCCGTTTTGATCTTCACGAAAATGCGTTAACGCGAAAGTATGTCCATGGAGGAGACACACGGAGGCGGCATGTCTTCCGCGACGCTCTCGTCCGTCTTGCTCCTTCTACTTTTCGGTCGTGCCGCGAATGCTCAGTAAGTAGACTTGTCATAGCGTTGCAAAAATCAAGTTTTAGGATTGATATACCAAAATCAGAAAATCTTTAATAAAAAACGTATCTTTTTAGCAATTAATTCAGAAAATAAGTGAAATTCTCCCTCTCTCTCTTCTTCCTGTTATATAACGAGATTAAAAAGACTTATTAGTACATTGATCGATATAAAAATTTATATTTAATATTAATAAATGAAGCGTATGTATCGCATTTATCTTATTTAAATAATTAACTAGTGGATTCGCAGTATAATAAAAAAATAATGTCACATCCAATAACACATTCAATTATATGTTTCAAAGAAAGTGTTCGCGATGTTTGCTTTGCAGGAAAAGTTTAGAATTTTTTGATCTCCTACCCGAAGATCCTAAGTTGTATGACAAAATGCGACCTCCCAAGAAAGATGGCCAGGCAACCGTCGTGTATTTTCATGTTACCGTGATGGGACTCGATTCCATCGACGAAAATTCAATGGTAAACGCATAATTTTAAAAGTGATATAATATATATATAGTTACAAAATTTATTTTTACATTGTAAGTCCAATCGCTTGTTAATGAGAATTTCAAAACGTAGTTTCATATTATACATTATTAATTATTGTTTACGGATAAATAATTATCTCAACGGTAAATCTTTACAGACGTATGCCGCCGATATTTTCTTTGCCCAAACGTGGAAAGACAATAGACTTCGATTGCCAGAAAATATGACGTCCGAGTATAGGTACATAAATTCATTAGTGGACTTTCGATAATTTTCGATATTTATGTATTTTTTGATTCAAAATATTTTTGTTGCATTCATCAAAACATTTTATTTTCATATTTCTTTAAAAGTTTCTGTGACTAATCGTTATCTCTCATCTCACTTATTATTATATGTGTCAAAATTTAAGATTATTAGAAGTCGATTGGTTGAAAAACATGTGGCGACCGGATTCCTTCTTTAAGAACGCAAAGTCGGTGACTTTTCAAACAATGACGATACCGAATCACTATCTGTGGCTGTATAAGGACAAAACCATTCTCTACATGGTGAAGTGAGTTTATGAAAAATTTTAATCACAGATATGCGTTTCCCACATGCGTGAAATACAGGAATATCGGTGATTTCAGGTTGACTCTGAAACTTTCTTGCGCCATGAATTTTCTGATCTATCCCCACGATACGCAAGAGTGTAAACTGCAAATGGAAAGTCGTAAGTCATCTTTATCTGTAAAAGAATTTAGTCCAGAGTATACTTTAGGAAATTACACGTTTTATAATACAACTATGCCATTTTTATCCATGTCTCTCATTTAAAAAAGTGAGAAAATTTATTCATAGTTATCATTTATAGTTACATATTCAACAATTAGTTTAAATACCATGTTAGATAAGTAATTATTAATTATTCATCTAACTGATTATTAATTACTCATATAATATTATAAATATACGAGTGAATAATGATCCGCACTCTATTTCTATAATTAGAACAGTAGAGAACGTACAATTACATTTTTCAACATACTCTCTACATATTGATCTGTGGTAAATTGATGACCTCTTAAGACATCTTTAAATGGACCAAACAGATGATAATCGCGATGGTAACGCCGAGGTCTATTGTCGAAAGATGTTTTGTTGTTGCATGACAATGCACGTCCACATACTGCTGCCTATACTATTCAAACATTTCAGAAATTGAGTTTCGAAGTATGGCATCCTGCATATAATCCAGATCTCACACCCTCGAATTATCATCTGTTTGATCCATTTAAAGACATGCTTTAAGAGTTCGTCGACTTGCCACAGACCAATAAGTATGTGCAAGAAGTGCATACATGACTGAGAAACAAATCAAAATCATTTTTTTTCGAGGATATATGCAAGGTTGTAAAACACTGGAAGAAGCGCATTGAAAAGCAAGGGGACCATGTCGAAAAATGATGTAATTGTACGTTCTCTACTGTTGTTCTGCATGCCAAATTATAAAAATAGGGTGCGGGTAATTACCCTCGTATCGTATCAATTACACCTAATTACTTAACTAGATGAGTAATTAATAGATTATTTATTACGTCAATCAAATACCACGCATATTTCATGTCTCATGCGAAAAAACGAAACAACTTGATCGACAGTGTCCCACACGACCGACGAAATGATCTTCCAGTGGGATCCCGACGTTCCCCTCGTTGTAGATGAGAATATCGAGCTGCCCCAACTCCAGCTCGTTAAAAATTATACGGCCGACTGCACACAGGTCTATTCCACTGGTAAGTGAATCGCGTAAATGACTGTCTTTATTATATCTTCAAGAATAACGCTGCGCGTTGTATTCGGCGTTATATTCCAAGGGGTGAGAAATTCTTCGACCGACTGCCCATGCGTTGATATCACTTGAGTTTAATCTGTACTAAATGCCGAGCATGGGTATATTTCATTAAAAATTACGTCATAACTTTCAGGTAACTTTACTTGCCTCGAAGTCGTGTTCGTGCTGAAGCGACGTCTCGGCTATTACCTGTTTCACACTTACGTGCCGACGTGCTTGATCGTCATCATGTCGGTGAGTAAAGCGTCGTGGGAGCTTATCGCGTCGTAAAACGTCGAAAGTCTACCCTCGTGACTTTATCCCGTATTTTTTGTCAAAAAAATGTCGCAGTGGGTGTCGTTCTGGATAAAACCCGAGGCCGCGCCCGCCCGAGTCACCCTGGGAGTCACCTCGTTGCTCACCCTCTCCACGCAGCACGCCAAGAGTCAGGCCTCCTTACCGCCCGTTTCATACCTGAAGGCCGTCGACGCCTTCATGTCAGTCTGCACGGTGTTCGTGTTCATGGCGCTGATGGAGTATTGTCTGGTGAACATCGTCCTCGGCGATTCGGATGCGCCCGCAGCGAAACCCGCGCCTCCGCCACCGCCGCCGTCCTCGAGCACCGCGGACTCGGCCAAGCTCGACAAGATCTTCGATATCGCTGCCAAGGTAACGCGTGGATGGCGACTGAATGATCAAGGAGCCCTGAGAATTGATTTTAACAAAAGATAATCACACTCTCAGAAAAGAATTCTAGATACAATACTATTAGGATCGAAATAGGGCCAATCATATTTAGTATTGAAAGAAGAATATTTTAATCTTAAATAAAGGAATTCTTAAATTAGACTTCTAGAAAAAAGAATATTTTAATCTTAAATAGAGATATTCTTAAATCTAGAATAAAATAATCTTGATGCTATCCCTCTAATTTTCTCAGAATTATTCTAGATTCAAGAATTCCTCTATTTAAGATTAAAATATTCTTCTTTTAATACTAAATATGATTGGCCTTATTTCGATCCTAATAGTATTGTATCTAGAATTCTTTTCTGAGAGTGGCATGATACTTGCGCGAATCAATTGGCTGAGATAGAAACGTCCGATAAAAACTCGAGAAGCATTACAATCAACCATATGATCTCGCTCGACTAAGCAAAACAGCTAAATAATAAAAAACGGTCAAATTTCGTTATTTATGGTTCTGAAGAAGGCCAAGTAAGACTGGAAACGTTAACGTGATTGTATATTTTTATTGAAGTTATTAAATTTATTTTCAACATCCTTTATTTGCTCGAAATTTGGCCGTTTTTGATTATTACAATGTTAAATTCTCCTTAAAGTGTCTGAAAACTATTATATTGTGAGATGATAGTTTTATCACGATTGTTAAAATTAATTCCAGGCTCTTCTGCCTCGGACCACTTCCGTGTCTCGAATAGAGAAACAAAACAAGCATTGTTGTTGAAGAAAATTTATTTGAAGCGGGTTCGCAGCTTCAAAAAATATTAACAACGGGGATAAAGATAAATTGCTGAAATATTCGTATCAAGTCGTTTCAAGAAAATTTTACGATCTCGGTAGTTACATTTTGCAACACTACCATCGTTCGTCCACCTTAAATCGCGTCCAGCTCTCTCCGAGGCATGGGAGACAGTCTGCATGATGACGGTTCAAGTTGTGATCGTTGTCACGCAGGAAAACGCAATGTTGTTATCCTGCCGATCGCAGAAATCGCCGACTGTACCGCCTGGACCCACCCCGGCCCAAAGGGCGCGAGTACGGGCGCTGAACATCGACCGCTTCTCGCGCTTCTTCTTCCCTTTCCTGTTCGCCGTGCTGAACGTCACCTATTGGATAATGTTCGCCGAGTATATTTAGACAGTGACATCGGGAACACTGACCGCGGAAACATCGCGCGATACTTCAAGAGGAGCACGAATGAGGGGACGAGCTCTGAAGCTCTCTCTTTCTCTCTCTCTCTCTCTGCGAGCGCAGAGAATACTCCGGAAACACGTCAGGAGAAACGAAGAACCATAACATATTTCGGAAAAAATTTGTCACTGCGATAAATTTGCAATCGTAGTTACGTCGATCGAACGAAAATGGAGTAAGGTTTCGCGACTAATAAAATTCTGATGGAAATCTGAAGATACGGCACGAGTAACAATAAAACTTAGCGATAACAATGACAAACGCAGAAATGCCTATCTTTTTAGAATGTTACTCTTCCGGAAAACTTTAATTCTTCTTTTACTCTTTCTTAAGATAGAGAATTTTATTATAAAACATTGCCTGTTATCGTGACACGCTCGCCAAGATGTTTTCTCTGACTGCTCACTTTTTTCGTCCGCTCGACAAAAATTCGATATGTAACACACACTCATATAATTATGATTCAGCCATGACGTATTTTGTTCGCTTCAAAAGCGTTCAAAAACAAAAATTTACTTTCTTCTCTCTGTGCTAATTAGACATTTCGACTATAATTAATTACTAATTAATGGTATACATCGTCATGAATTTTGCTTTCCAAAGGATCTTTTTGTCACGAATAAACTTGTAAAACTTCCCAGAGAATAAGTAAGAGATTACGCCTAAATATAATAGAGCACAATGATGTACAGTAAAGTTGCATATTAATTCGAACGAATTTAGAAAGTGGCAATAGGTTTATTCAGCTTCATTTGTATCGCTTCGTTCATTACGTAAAACTAACACATAATTCAAAGGCCGAATAGAAAGTTTATAGATATTATCGGTCATTCGCGGTAATCTAATGTGTCTCTTATACGAAATAACATGTCGATTCACGATTTATAAATATTATCAAATCAACCAACTGAACTTTACGTCATCGAAAAGTTGTAACAATGAATGTTTCTTGACATAAAAGTCTCTATTGTACAACTGTATCATTAAAAATGTGTCTAATAAAGAGCTATTATGTTCTCTCGCTCATGATTATTGTCCGTCAGAACGATTTCAATCAAATCCCGATTAACTTAATCGATTAAGGGGATGCTGGAGACAGGTCTGTTTTACCACGAAATTTTCAGACACACAAATCTTTTGATTGATTTCACCGAATTAAAAATTTTTTGTCCAGAATTAAAGTATGGACGATAACGAAGACGGCAGGCACCAATTGCGTATGAAAAACGAAAAAAAATTAGAAAATTACATTTTTATTTTTGATTCTGCGGTCGACTCATGACAACATTTGCTGCAGATAAAAGTTTTAGACTGTGTACGTATACAAAAACCTTGCAGCCGTCACGGAAATACAATAAAGAAGAATCCTGTGCTTGCAGAAATGAGCTGCGAGCTTTAGTATAAGAGAAAAGTATGTTAGAAAATTTCATATGCACATGTTACGCGTCTCCCCGATTTCAGCCAAAAACTCTGCGCTCTGTATGTATGTGTAAGAATCGGTGAGCACTTCTTTATCGACGCTGGTCGAGTTTGCCTGCGCTCTGTATGTATATGTAAGAATCGGTGAGCACTTCTTTATCGACGCTGATCAAGTTCGCCCGTGACTCCAGCATCCCCTTAATGTATCAAGCAGTATCTATACTATTTTTATTAATATAGATAAGATTGTTAATTTTTGTTTAACATTTTGAAAAAAAAAAGATTTAAATAAGAACAATGAATTATATAGTTACAAGTTTTGCTTTAAAGGACTCTTCGTATATAATTAGTTACCATTGTCTGTTCCATCATTAAAGAAAATGATTGATTGCGAGAATCATTATAGCCGCATGTGCCCTCTATTGGTGCTAAGCAAGACTATGAAATACAGTCATCGTCAGTAAAAAGGGAATCTCTTGGCTTTTATTCTCCGCCTACTTTCCACCCCCACCAACTGCGACGACAGGATCGTAGCACCCACGCACCACGACAAGCAGATGAAGGTTAGCGCCCCAGTGACGTTAAAATATCATTCTGTCCTCGTTTCACTGCTTGGTATCAATATATTGATATATGATTGCAATAAAGACTATTACGATAAATTTAGGTGAATAATATTGGGCAATGAAAAAAGATTTACAATAATATCTGCTATGTAAGAATTATTTATCTTAGTTTTCATTAAGAATTATAAGTTTATTGAATATGATATTAATAAAATAAAAAATTACTTTGTGTATGTGTGAATTTCTATAAATTATACAAAATAAACACTTTACAGTAATGCTGCAATTATAAAACTAAATTCGAAAAAGGCGCAAGTCCGCACAAACATCCTTTTAGTATAAAGCATGTCTATAGTAATTTGTATCGTTCTATCACGAATTAGCACAGCTGTCTTTATCCAATTTTTAGTGGAAACAAGTCGTGGAATACAATTTTACATGTCTCTATTATTGAACGATTCGTATAAACAGTTTTTTTAATTAACACACATACTTGTGTGCTTTTTTTCTACAAATCTACAACTCCACATCACGCTCATTAATTGCGATGTGTATAATATGAGAAATTAATTCTTGACGAAAAGCGAAATTGTCCGTTGTCGCGGACACAGTCCGATACAACGAATCAGTACATTCGCGCGGGGGGGAAGCGGAAAGTGGGATCATCGCGGAGGAAGGAAGCGTAGCGTGGGCCGCCTTATCTGTACAACGTAGCCCGGCATACGATAGCAGGATGCCATTGCCTTCTCTTCCTCGTCTCGCCTTTCCAGGACAGTTCGCTTTCCGTCCTCTTCCGTCACGCGCGAAGATACACGTCATCGAAGATTGGTGGGAATCGGGAGCACTGCGTGCAGCAGGCCGAAGTATTGTATTGCTGAAGTAATAATTATATATATGCTCGGATTGAAATAATTAATTTGCTATCTGCTTCCCGGAAGTAACGACAGATGCATGAACACTTAAATTCCCCCTTGATCTCTTCCGCGAGATCTTTATTCTTTCAAATGTTAAATTTAATTTATTGCAAAATATATCTTTAATATAAATATATAAGAATTTATTTGCCTTAGAAAAAGACAGTTCCGAAAGAGATTGAGAATGGAGACTTACTTCGCGAAATTTAAAAAGTATTTGAGATATAATACTTCTTTGTCGGGGTCTACAAAATCAATGACACCAACTAATTTTCTTTTTTTTTTTTAATATTATCCGATCGAAAGATAAAACTCTAAACTAAATAAAATAAATTTATGTAACATAAATAGATTGATTTGAAAGGACGGCTGTATCAGATGACGTTTATACATCGGCGGCGATTTGTATATCTCTTGAACAGATTTTAAAAGACGACAGGAACAGCGAGTATGCCGCACATGTGTGCCGCAGTAACATAAGCGTCGGGTGTAACGGGTGTGCGAAAGTATCGTATATCGACCCACGAGGGTTCGAACAAATTGGAACGTCGACGATTCGGAATTCTCAATCTTTTACGATAAAGCCCTCTCCGCGACGTTGCGTGTACGAAAAAAAAACTGATATCAGGCGACAGAACATTGACCCGCGATAGAAGAAGAGACCTATGATATTTACGCTGTACGATTTATAGAACGAATATTTATCTTCTTTCGCTGCTCTCTTTAGAACGTAATCATCACGGAAACCTATTAATATCTGTTTATATATAAATAAGACTTATTCGGTATAACCGACGTTCAACGCAATTGTGCGAGACTTCCCCAAACACGCGTGGCGACCCTCTCGCGTACCCGGTGCGAAGAACAAAGCCATCCCAAACAGCATGTTTAAAAGACATCGTAAAGATGTCTCTTAGACACGTATGTCTAAAAGATGTCTTCACAACGTTTTCTAAACATGCGTGCTGTCCGGAATGTCTACGCTCGCTAAGATCCGATGACCAAAAACTTCGACGACATTTTTCAAAAATCGTACTTTTCGTTACTCAGGGTACAAGTAAAAAAAAAACCCATGTTTGCAATGGAATTTCAATGACCTGCGCCCGAACCTTTCCCAAGGATCGGAGGATCGCTCTTCTCGCAAAGCCTATAGCTCTTCTCTCGGGTCTCGCCTGCGGCCCTTACCACCCGCCGTTCGGCCCCGCTCGTCCGCTTCCCAAGCCCAAGTCCCGTGTCGTTTTCCCTCTCCGTTCCGTTGCCACCCGATGATGATTCTATGTACGGCACTGACGGGCACGAGACTCGGAGGCACGGAGCGGAGTCGCGACCCGACAAGCCGAGGGACTCACTTGCGAGAGAGACGGCGTCACGAGGCGCGTCCGCGAGGCCGCGTTTTTTTCATTATCCGTCTCGCCCGTCTCGCGTTTTGCGAGGGTGCACCCGCACCTGTCGCACGGATCCGCCGACAGTCGTTATCGCACGTGGGATAACGAGGCTCCGGGACTCTCGGCGGCCACGAGGAGAAGAGGCCGAGGAATTCGGCGGAAGGGGAACTCCGATCTCGGTGCTCCAAGCGAGATCTCTCGACGTTCGTACCGACTCCGGAGGAGAGCGGCGGCCGCCGTCTCTCGAGGGAAAGAAGAAATACCTCGTCGGCCTGCACGTCGCGAGGAACGCTATTTTAGCGTGTATTTTAACCCAGGTGAGCCCTATCGGACGGTTATTGGCAGCGTTTTTCGCAACGGAAATTGTCCCACGGGTGCGCGAAAGTGCGTTTCGCGTCATTCATCGAGCGTTGCCTAATCGAAACGTGCTCTAGCTGCTTCGAAATTTAATAATTCGTTCACGATTCGGAAGTAGGCGCAAAAAATTATTTTAAGATAATTATCTGCTGATATTAAAATGTTTTACGTATATGTATTTCTTTTATATTTTTGCCCCAAATGTTAAATAATTTATAAAATTAAGTATCGTTAAATGTTCCGCTTGTCTGTTTCATTCGGTGCCATTTAAAAATTGATGGCTCTATAATAATATTCATAAATTTATATATAAAACAAAATTGATTTAAATTGTAATTTTTTGTCGCATAATTTAAGGACAATTATTTGTTAAAGTGTGCGACTAAAATAAATTAGGTGACCCGTTATAAATTTTCCGCGATTCGGTTTGCAATATTTTGGAATATTTTATTTTCGTAGAAACTCTCGAACCATCGTCGATGGCTTAAGATCGTTGCGAAAAGTCCACAAAGACAGGCAGAAAAAAGAGACGGAAAAATGCTTCACGCTCATTATGGGCACGTGGCTCTCGCAGCTTTAATTATTATACTTATTACCTTAGCAGGTACGTAATAATTGATATATATTAATTTATACTAGCCTTAATTTTTCATAAAATAATTAAACATTAAAATATGAATACTTAATTTTGAGATATCTAATCTCAAAATCAGATATTCTCAGAATATACTTTTAAATTAAAATAAAATTTAAGTTTTTCGCTGTTGGTTAAATGCCGCTCGCGTTTCCGCTGCGTTTTAACGCCATTTTCGCGTTGTATGTAGTACACGTGCAAAAGAATCAAATTCGTAGCGAAATTCTTTTTCTCGGAAACATCGTTGGTCCCATTCATGTAACGGAGGAGACTCTTTATCCATTACGATTAGATAGCGAGATGACCTCGCGACCTGCCTTCCTTTTGAAATCGGCGAGCTTGTGTATTTCGGCTTCTAAAACCCAGCCGTCCGCCCTAAAGATCTTTGCGTGTATTTATCTATTTCGAGAAGATTATTCAACGCGAATGGCGCGATCGTTTACGTGTTTGTGTTGTACGTGGCAGTATCGTTGCGGCGAAAATATACAGATCTACAGCACGTGTCCTCTCTTTTAATCTATCGGATACCTTTATATCCAAAGCTGATTTGTCCAGTCGATCTCTGAAAGTTGATTTGTAACTTGAAAAAATTCCAAAGATGTTTAATGTACAAAATTGAGATCTCCCAGCAGAGATTGATCTCCTCGACATCTTCAATAAGAACCGATCGAAAGATCTATCTAGATTTAAGACACCCCGTATTTCAAAGCTTATTAAAGGTACTTTCCAGAGCTCTCGTAAACATCCGGCTCTCTTTCGCGATAGCCTCTACCGGCAGTAGAACATCTCTTGATAACCGGCACTAGCGTTCATTCGAAGCAATTCTGAGGAAATTGTCCCGCATTAATGTTAATATTAATATTCGACGCGCTCGTTATCGCCGCGCGCTTTAAAAAAAATCGCGGCGAACGCGGCCAACTGCTGCGCCTTGCATAATTCATTTTGGAAAACTACTATTTGTGTCATTTATTCCCTCGAAAGAAGCGAAAACACGTGTTTTCTGTCTAACATTCGTTACCGCACATTATGTAAATATTTTAACTCTTTGTAGGACCTGCGAGTTCCGAATATGGACATCCGCCAGTCAGAGGTAAGATTCTGATCTTCTTAGAATTAAATTTTTTTTATTCACTCTTTTCTTCACAAAAGAATCCACGAAACGGTCATTATGAGCACGTAGTATTATCAATGGCCTTATCGGAGAGTGTCGAGCGGCGAAAAAACGCGATAAAACGTTTTGCGACAACTAGGACGCGCACTATATAATTATACATAGAATTATATACAAAGTCAAAAACGGGGGTGTTATAGGATCGGTGCAGAGAGGGGATATGTCACCCGTGGACGTGGTGACAGAGAGTCATACTCGGTTATGGCCGACCGTTCCCAGGTCAAGAGGTAGACGAAAGAATTAATTCAAGGAGCGGGCAAACACCTTATAAAAAGATCCCTAACGAATTGAACATTTAACGAGGCAAAATCACTGTTCTAACATAGATAAATGTTTTATACATTACCAGCTAACAGTGAAAGAGTCCGTTGGCTGTAGTTAATTTTTTCTTGTTGGTTTTGATCCCCATGTGTAAATATATTTACCAGATGTATATGTTTGTGATATTTCGGTTTCTCCTATAATGTGGTAAAGGTTTCGTACTTTGTGCTAATCGACGGGAACTAATTGGAGTAACCGGGAGGCTGTATCCCCTTCCATATATTTAACGCATATATCGGCATGATATCGATGGTGTTCTAATTACGGAAGAAGAGAATAACCATACGGCTAACAGAAGCTAACAGAAGCTTTTATCTCGAGATGTAAAGGATTAATGAGAAACTTTTTCGCCTCGTGCAGGATCGCACGCGAAGAGACCGCATCCCTGCGAGCAGAGCTCGTGTTACCCCGCAACCGGGAACCTGCTGATCGGCCGTAAGGACAAACTAAGCTCTTCGTCGACGTGCGGTCTCACAGGTCCCGAAAGATTCTGCATAGTTTCCCACCTTAAGGACAGGAAGAAGTGCTTCTTCTGCGACACGTCGATACCTAAACAGCAACATAACATTGAGAACATCGTCAGCGGGTAAGACCACTTTACTTTATCGCGAAATAAATCCAATGCCTTTTTGAAATAAGTGGAAATGTGTGTTATTAAAAATAAGTAACAGCGACAAAATGTATACTAATCAATATAATTTAAACAGTACAAGTTATAGATCATGGTGGCAGGCCGAGAACGGAGTGGAGAATGTCACGATACGCTTCGATCTTGAGGCAGAGTTTCACTTCACGCACATTATCATTCGCTTCCAAACCTTCCGACCGGCTGCCATGCTGATCGAACGATCGTACGATTTCGGAAGAACCTGGCAGGTGTATCGGTACTTCGCTCACAACTGCGAGCACTACTTCCCCGAAATCCCGACCCACCAACCGCAAAGATTAACGGACGTTATCTGCGAGACGAGATACTCGGCTGTGGCACCGTCCACTGGCGGCGACGTAATTTTTAGGTAGAATGTGTACACAGTTTTATCATATTAACCATTTATTTATATTTTAAACTGTATTATTTTAATGTATGAATACTTTGCTATCATTTTAATTTTTTTTAACATAAATTATTGTAATCATTAATTATTAATCACGTTCAAAAATGTCATCTTTTTATTGATATATTTTAGGGTGTTGCCGCGAAATTTGGATATCGACAATCCCTATTCAAAGGAAGTGCAGAATCTGCTAAAGATCACCAATCTCAGGATCAACATGACGAGACTCCACACTCTGGGCGACGATCTGCTCGACGATCGGGCCGAAATTCGCGAAAAATACTATTACGCCATCCAAGATATGGTGATTCGCGGTTCGTGCTCCTGCTATGGGCACGCCTCGAGGTGTTTGCCGTTACCGGGAGTCGCCGATGAGGAGAACATGGTCCACGGCAGATGCGAGTGCACGCACAACACTAAGGGTCTCAACTGCGAGAAGTGCGAGGACTTCTACAACGACCTGCCGTGGAAACCCGCGGTCGGCAAACAGACGAACGCCTGTAGGCCTTGCAATTGCAACAATCATACCAGTTCCTGCCACTTCGACGAAGCGGTCTACGAGAGATCGGGCAGAGTATCCGGCGGTGTCTGCGACGATTGTCAGCATAACACGCGAGGGCAGAATTGCGAACAATGCAAGCCGTTTTATTATCACGACGTGACGAAGGACATTTCTGACCGGGACGCTTGTCAACGTGAGTTTTCAATTTATATCAATCGCTTTATATAATCTTCATGTAACATTTAATATAATTTAATACGGTATTATTATCCGCGTTTGTTTTGTAAGTAAAAATTAAATGTAGATTGCAGTTAGTGGCAGAATGAATTTATGTAAATGTGTATGAAAGAGATATCGTGAGATCGCAAAGATATACAGATTTTTTTCTTTCGCAGCCTGCGACTGCGACCTAAACGGATCCTTGGATGATGGCATATGCGACTCGAGAACCGATCCTCTAAGTGGCGACGAGTCCGGACGCTGTCACTGTAAAGCGAACATTGACGGGCGTCGTTGCGACCGTTGCAAGAACGGCTTTTGGAACTACGATCCCGACAATCCCGAGGGATGTCAAGGTAAAAAAGAAAGTTATATCCAAGTATGTTTCGTTAAAAGGTCTAACTTTTTCAATAGTTTTACATAAAGCGTAATATTTAAATCAATATACGTTTATTATATTTGTTAATGACACTAAGAAGCCTATTACTTATTAGTCTATACCGATTATCTTCCAAATTCAATTTATCTTTCCTTCTAAAAAACATTAATCAATAACACAGATTTTATTGGCCCAAATAAGAAAAGTTTGATCATAGTTTCTCAAAATGGAAAATTCGTACAAAAGGTCGACTTTTGCAATTGCAATTGCAGCCTGCACCTGTAACACCTTGGGTACCATCGACAATCAGGGTTGCAACGTGGTGACCGGCGAGTGCACGTGCAAACGGTATGTCACAGCGCGCGACTGCAATCAATGCGTGCCGGAATATTGGGGACTCTCCGAGGACCGGGATGGATGCAAACCGTGCGATTGTGATCCTGGAGGATCATACGAGAAATCCTGCGACGTCATCACCGGCCAGTGCAGATGCAGGCCGCATGTCAGCGGGAGAACTTGCAATCAGCCGGAACAGAGTTATTACACCGGCTCGCTAGACTTTCTCATTTACGAAGGAGAATTGTCTAGAGCGACCGACGTAAGTTCATTAAATTTAATCGAATATGTAATTAAATGTGCTGCAAACGTGATAAAATATAAAGCACAATCGCAACACGAAAGAAATAACAAAAAGAGAGGAAGAGAAAGTTACTCCTCTCTTCAACTATATCTAGAATTTTGCAAAGCTTCAATTATCTCACTCAGCTTCTTGAGATTGTTTTTAGAATTAAATAGCAAATTCGTTTTCAGAACTGTCAAGTGGTGATCAGAGAGCCTTATCGCGATGGTAGGAATAGTACGTGGACCGGCACGGGTTTCATGAAGGCTCTCGAGGGCTCGGTATTGAACTTCACCATCGACGACATTCGCAGATCGATGTGGTACGACGTGATTGTACGGTACGAACCGGTGCATCCGGGCGTCTGGGAGGACGTGCAGATTATTCTCGAGAGAGACAGCCTACCGGATCCTAATGGGCCGTGCGCCGATTGGAGACCCGAATACGATCGCCTGTGGGTTCAATTGCCTCTGCGTTCGAGAAGCGCCATGGCGCAACCGTCTATATGTCTAGAGGCGGGAAAACGCTACAATCTTCTGTTGCAATTCCGCAAGTTCAACAGCCACATAGACACGCCTTCGGCCTCCATCCTGGTCGACTCGGTAATATACTTTGTTTCGATTATGTTACCGATTGTCGTCAAAAGTCATGTCCGGTTGATCGTATAATCTATACTTATTTGTATGATCAGATTGTTCTGAAGCCAAGGATAGACGTGATACCCTTCTTCAAGACTCCGGGTCTGGGTGAGCTACGTCGCCAAGAATACGAACGTTACCACTGTAACGAATTGTTCAACGATGTCAATAGCGTGTGGAGCAACGTGCCTGAGATCTGCAGAAAATATCAGAACAGCATCGGCTATTACGTCTTCGACGGCGCTCACTGTAAGTTCAATCGCGCATTATCCGATGTCGTTTGTAGTCTTCAATGATACTTTAATTTTACTTTAATTTCATGTCGTTTAATCTTTCTCGTTCAATTGCACACTCACAAGAGCGCGATGTTGAATTCTAGCTTGCGAGTGTAATCCAACGGGCTCTCGCAGTCTTCTGTGCGAGAACTACGGCGGGATGTGCCCGTGCAAGCCGAACGTGGTCGGCAGACGTTGCGATCGTTGCGCGCCGGGCACCTACGGATTCGGCCCGGAGGGATGCATCCCCTGCGACTGCGACGGCGTCGGCGCCCTCGACAATTTCTGCGACGTCGAGACCGGCCGCTGCAAGTGCCGCCCCAACACCTACGGCAGGACCTGCGGCCAGTGCGAGCCCGGCTTCTGGAACTTCCCGCACTGTCAGCGCTGCGAGTGCCACGGACACGCGGATAGCTGCGACTCGAAGACCGGGGCCTGCATCAACTGTCGAGATTATACCACCGGGCACAATTGCGATCGTTGCGTCGACGATTTCTACGGCGATCCGCGAATTGGCGTGGATATACCTTGCAGAGCGTGTCCTTGTCCGGGTGAGTACAGTTTTGGAAGAAATTTTACATTGATTATTAATTTTTTAAATTATTACAAATCAAAAATTACAATATTAAGTCTTATTAGAAAGATATTATGTCCGTAATAAAAATAAGCTATACCTCACATTTATATTTATATCTGTACATTTTTTCGGCAATATAAAACTCGGTCTTTTAACAATTCAAACAGTGGTACTAAAATATTGTAAACTGTGGAGTTTGCTCCGCCTTAGTCATTTATTTGCGTTTTTATTGATGAAGTAAAAAAATGAGTTTCTTTTTACATTATTTATTATTATTTATTTATTACTATCATTATATATTTTTTATTTTAACAGGCACACGCGAATCCGGTCACTCCTATGCCAACAGCTGTTCATTGGACTCAGTAACACAGGACGTAGTGTGCGAATGTTTCGAGGGATACTCCGGACCTCGCTGCGAGCATTGCGCCGAGAATTATTTCGGCGATCCAGAGGTGCCAGGCGGTAGCTGCCAACTCTGCGAATGTAACAACAATACGGACCTACGTCGCCCTGGTAACTGCGACCCGCACACCGGTCATTGCCTTCAATGTCTGTTCAACACCGACGGTCCCACTTGCGAGGTGTGTAAAGCGGGATTCTACGGAGACGCTCTGCGGCAGGACTGTCAGGACTGCGGATGCAACGTCCTGGGCACCGACAAGGCCGCGGGACCGTGTAATCATCGCAGTGGTCAGTGTCCGTGTCTACCGCATGTCATAGGACAGCTCTGCGACTCCTGCGAGGAGAATCATTGGAGGATAGCCAGCGGGCAAGGCTGCGACCCTTGCGAGTGCGACGCGGTTGGAAGTATTTCAGACAGGTTCGTCTGCGATTTTTATAACAATTGAAATTCTGCGATAGAAGTATTTTTTAATGAGTATACAATAGCTTTGATATATCTTGTAGTTGAATGACTTGATACCGATAGTGATCTAATCCACCTTTTTCTTACAATAAAAAATTAATCTAAATGTATAATTTAGAAAAAAGTTTAATTTTCTCAATCTTAAGATTAATTTATTCAAAAGCATGGGTTATCACTGCTCTACAACATATCAATCTAAGAAAAGACTATGCGGCTAATTAAAATATTTCCATGTATAGATGCAACCCCTTCGACGGCACTTGCGAGTGTAGGCCAGGATTCGGCGGCAGACGGTGCAACGAGTGTCAGACAAACTTCTGGGGTAACCCGAACATAGAGTGTTATCCATGCGAGTGCGACGTGATCGGCTCTGCGAGTCAACAATGCAACAGGGAGACCGGGGTATGCGTTTGCCACAAGGGCATCGGCGGTGAGAAATGCGACCAGTGCGACCGCGGCTATCACGGCGAGGCTCCACAATGCAGTCCGTGTGGCGAATGTTTCGACAACTGGGATCTGATCCTGGACGGTCTCACGAACAAGACAAACGCGGTCATTCAGGAGGCCTCGAGGATACAGAAGGTCGGCACGACCGGCGTGTACAGCCAGGAATTCGACGACATGAAGGACTCCCTGAACGAAGTGCGGGATCTGATCGGCAACACCACTATCCGGAGTCAAGACCTAGACGCGTTGGACGACTTGGCCAATGAGTTAGAGAAGAATATTTCCGAATCGGCCAAGCAGTTGGCTGAAGCGAGCAATCAATTTGAGAATCTCAGTCAGCGAGTTAATCTTGGCGATGTCGCGTTGAAGAAGTTGAGAAACAGGACAAACAGCCTGCACGAGACCGCCGCCGATTTGCGAGAAAATGCCACGAGACTGCAGGAGGAGAATGTTCTGGGCGCGCTGAACGTGACCCAGCAGATGGCCGAGCAGTCCAGGCAGGCCGAGAGGACGGCAAACGACACTACGAATGTCCTCAGCGATGCGGAACGATTCCGCAAGCATACCGAGAATCTTCTGGCGAAGAATCGCGCCTCCGTGACCGAGGCTCAAGAGAGGAACAAGGAATCGTTGACGAAACTGAATGAGAAGCTGAAGACATTCGGTATGGCGATACCTGAACTGAATCTGCAGATGTGCGGTGACAATGTGACGGATTGCAGCACCGTCTGCGGTGGTGCGGGCTGCGGCTTCTGCGGAGGATTATCTTGTCACGTGGGCGCGGTCAGCAAGGCCAATCAAGCTCTGGATGTTGCCAAGCAGCAAGCTGCCAAGATCAAGGGCCACAAGGACGAGGCCGAACAACTGTTACGCAATGTAATTATCACTAATCTAATTCTTAAAAGTTATTTTACGATTTCTACAAGAATTAATTATTGTCAAGAATTATTTATTATATTTAAAGAATAATATTCATATATTGCTATAAATATTTGTAGAAATTCTGTGAATTTCTCAATTTGTACAGCTTATTCATTTACCATTTTAATCTACAATTGTTTATGATTTATTCGATTAATTTACGTTTTTAGATGAGCCAAATCAGGCAAGACGCGACAGCGGCAAGATCCAACGCTCAAGACGCCTTCAATTACGCATGGGAGGCGCGCAATCGTTCCGATAAGATCACCAAGGACCTCTCAGATATAACCAAGCAAATCTGGAGCGCTCTGAACGAGGACCAGCCTACACCAGCCATGGTGAGAGATCTCGCGTACGAGGTGCTCGCGAAGAACATCCAGCTGGAGCCGGATGAAATCACGCGGTTAGCCGATCGCATCAAGAGCATCGTGGGCTCTCTCACTGACTCTGAGAAGATTCTCGCCGATACCAAGGACGATCTGCAGAAAGTGCGTGATCTCGAGGCACGCGCCAACCGCACCAAAGATTTCGCCATCGAGAAGCAAACCTTGGCGAACAAGGTGATCCTGCTGTTGAACGACGCGCAGAAGGCGCAACACCTGGCGCAGGACGCGATCGACAAGGCGGAAGCTGACGTGTCCAAATCGCAGAAAGATCTCGCGGACATCGCCGACGTGACAAAGGCCGCTCAAATCCAGGCTAACAGCACCACGCATACGGTGGAGGCACTGGATGCCCGTTTGAAGCAGCTTCAAACGCAATCTGCGAAGAACGGTTTTATCCTGGCGGAGATCGGCACGGAGGCGAAGAAGGTCGCCGACGAGGCCCAGCTGATCGACAGCAAGACGAAGAAGCTGTCGGAGGAGTACAAGAGGGCGGACGAGTCGCTGAATCTGCGGGTGAACAAGAGCAAAGGCGATATTCAGCGGGCGAAAAGACTCCTGCAGCGTGCCTCCGAGCTGACGGCGGACACGTCGACCAAGTCCAAGGATCTGGACGGCATGGAGAGCGTTTACAAGGACAACGAGCGGCTGCTGACGGACCTGATGAGCGACGTGGACGCGCTGACAATGGAGATGGAGAGACACTTGGCGGAGATCGAGAACAAGTCGCAGGTGTACAGACAGTGCTCCGCTTAAAAATTCAATCAGTTGAGGGAATCATTTCCCGATTTGCGAATTTCATCTGCAAAACGATACATATCGATAACCAGTGGATCTTTTCTTCGTTTGATACACAGATAACTGTCCGCGCGGTAGAATCTCTTGCTCCACAAACGAGAGCCCCTTTCCAGTGTTACATCTCACTTACTGCATTTTACCGCGAGATATGTTAGGTCTTATTAGTAAGATCGGTGCTTTATACTTGTGCAATAGTCGTGAGTTTTATCTTGATTTATAGGAAACGGATATGCGTATATATATTTACATATTGCATATACAATATATATATATATACACATTTGGCATTCGCAACTTATTTCGAATATTGCGAAAGGCGAGGAGATTATTATTAGTGCCATAAATATATAAATGGAGGGGCCATCAGTAGTTGTAAAGAGGACGATTTGTACGTAAGTCAGTTAAAATATCGCTTCAAGCAAATTCGAGGTATCTTCTCTAGCTTTTTAGCTTCGCTAAATTTTCTCCAATTCTTCTTGCAATTTTTATATTTTTATATTTCGTAGCACACACTTTTTTACTTTTATAATAAGAATATTCTATACCAGAATATCTATATAAATAGTTTCTATCCGCTGATGCATATATACGACAATTTCTTACACATCGTACTTAAAGAAACACCGTAGCGAAGTATTAAGCTCGTGTTCCATAGATGATACATTAAAAATAATTAAAGAGTAATGTAAATAATTAAAATAAACGTAATACAGGATTAAGATATTAAAATAGATATTCTGCAACGGATCTACCGAATATGAAATGTTCGATATATCGCCGAGACACATTTATCTACAAATGGACAAAAGTTCAAGTGGCCTTGTCGATTATTACAATGCCTGTAAATAATTACAGTCTGCGCATCTGTAAATATTTAATGTTACATACCTATATGAATTCACGATGTTCGACGGCTTTTTATCTCTAGACCTTTTAATTTTTCTTTTACAGCTCCAATCCTAATTCTCATTTTTATTAAAAAATAGCAAAACCTTACGCGAGAAATATAATAGAAACGACAAAATTCGTGTAATTATTCTGGCGATACAAAAACGAAAGGAACAAGATCCTGTTATTTATATCATCATTGCACGCGATCGATCCTCATACATTACATCAAATATCGTCGAGATTATCGCTTAAAAGTGGGCGAACGATGCTATGATCAAGCCAAAAAGAATTCAATATTTAAGGTCATACTACGCATAGCGATATTATACTGTAATGTTAGAGAGAAATAAATGAGTTGCCAAAAAGAAGAAAGGAGTGTGGCTATATCTCGGCGAGCCTGTCGACCCTTAATTGCGTCTTTCAATTACATTCAAATTCCTTCTATCGTACATAAGGAGAATCTGCAATTTTAAATAATCGCTCAGAACGATGTACGCGCCGCGTCCTTGCAATTTATTGCGGTATCGCGCAAGGAAATTGTCGGACACGCGAAATCATCAGCGACAAAATACTTTCCTGTCTTACGCCGCGTGTTTTTCATTAAACAACGATACACATATGTCAGCGTACGCGATCTCCCGATCACGCCTCAAGTGCCTGGGACTAGGCTGGGACCAACGTGACTAAACGAAGCAAACACCGTTGCGTCCCGTCGCGTCGCATCGATCTTCCTCAGCGCATCACGATCGATTCGCGTAGGGCCCGGAAATAGGTTTTGTCGTTTATTATTACAGAGTCCGGTTACGTCGCAGCCATGTGCGCGATTACGGTTCCCCCCCTGAATGTCATCGTAACGTCGAAATTTTCGACGAAGGGGTTCCAGGACTACGGCCGGGTTCCTCCGGCAGATAAACGGAGAAGAACGTTCTATTTGTCATTTCGGTATATTCCTTAAAATCGCCCTTTCCCTTTCGGAGCCGAGGCCTACGCGCGCGCGCACGAATATTTCATGAATAGCGCACTGTTGAATTCAAATGGCGTATGCGTTCAGCAGGCCGCGCACAATGGGTTCATTCAGTACGCGAATCAGTGGTTCTCCGCGGAGGTGAGAAAACTAGAACGGCGCGGAGAGATGCACGAAAATTATTACTGCAATAAAGATCCAACTTTGATCTTTCCTCGAAGACAGATTCGAAGTTTCCGCACTGCACCCTTTAAAACCATAACAAAGAGATAAGATAAACGCACGGACAGTCTCTTGCATTTCGCCAAGGAAATCATCGCATTACTATCTTACTATCTTAAATGTACATTTGGATTTTTTAATTAACGATAATTAACGGAAACAATATAAATTCAAATAATTAACGCAATTGTATAAAATTGTTCCTATCTCACGCTTTGAAAAAAAAAAGAAGTAGAGAAGAAGGCGGTCTCAGGATTTTTAAAGAGATTTCGCTAACAGGGAAGTTTGATAAAAAAAAAGGATCACAACAAGCAATAAATTTTTCTCTGTTAAATTGAATTGGAGCGTTCTAATGGGCATCTCTAACGAGGATTGTTCTTTGTTGCTTCGTGACACCTTTAAGGCGACGATCCCCGATTGTCCGACTGACACGCATTTTAATCCGGCACTGAGAATTGTAGTTATAGGATCCGCGATATTATCACGGTGACTGATGCATAAGCGCATACATATAGAGATAAATAATGCATTATATCCGAGAAAGGATTTTACGCGGCGTGGCGAGTCTCATTGGAGTAACCGCTACTTAATTTTCGATCGTGAGTTTTTTTAAAGACGTGTAACGTTAACTCTTCGAAGCTCGAGACTCGCTAACTATCTCAAAAATGATAAATGATAATATCAATCAATATTTGTACAGAGATTACTAAATCCTTTAAGTATTTACCTTTCAATATATTGCGATGTTGTTGGCTGAAGGGCAACTTTATTCCTACAGAAAATACTCGGCGAAACGTTCAACGATAGAAACTGATGAAGATCATTATGCGAGAGTTTCTCTGGAATTTTCGGACAAGTTTTTCCACGCAGATAAAAACAAAGGCAAAAAAAAAAACACATTTCAAATGACACAAAGTGAAATATATAACACGTTCAAATACGTGGCATAATCTATTCTTACAAGATTCATAAGATTCATTGAATAGAAATAAAGGTATACTCTTCATCTCAAGTTCCTTTTAAATTCCTTATCGTCCCACCCGTTGCTCGAGATACGTTAGCTTCCGTCTTTGTTCTTTTTACGCGTGGTTAACCACGAAACTAATCTGCAACACATGCATGACTTTAACAACTGCCGCAAAAAATTGTCTGCGCGGTTATCGTCCGTTAGACGGTAGAACTTCACTTCACGTTAGGATCATACACAAGAAGATATTCTATATTTATGTTATAAATTCAGTTTGTCATAAAATCATTCTCTCTCTCTCTCTCTCTCAGATGAGACATTAATGTGACATTTTTTTATTTTATTCTCCCAAATAACACACTATACAGTCCACTTCAGCTAATCTATGACTAATAATAAATGATCTATAAATAGAATTCAGAGTAGAATTCTATTTATAATCTCATGTGCCATATAACATGAATAAATTTTGATGAGAATCCGAATACACACACACATATATATATATATGTGAAAAAAATTATAAATAGAATTCTGACGCAAATATTTTGCTATAAAATCATTCAGATGAGTAACATCAATGGCATTCTTAAATTTTATTCTCCCAAATATTGCACTTCGGATAATCTATAACCAATAATGAGTAATATATAAATAAAAATCAGAGTAGAACTCCATTTCTCTAATCTCATATGCCGTACAACACGAAAAAATTTTTATGAAAATCCCGAGTACACATATATAAAATATATATTAAAATACAGTGTTGTGTACATCAGAGTGTATACGTAGAGAAAATTATAAATAGAATTCTGACGCAAGTATCATAAATCTTCTACTAAAGTAGACTGAAGACACAATACGTGACGTGCATAAATATCTAAAATATCTTTCCTATCGCTCGCTGAACTCGGTGCAACGGTATCGCGCTTTCTTGCGACGTCTCCCCCTGTAGCAGGCGATCCCCCGGTCGCGGGGTCCAAGAGCTTACCTTTAATCAGCCAGAAGAGTCCGACACAGCCGGCCGATGCGGCGCCGTTGGCGCAGCGGGGATGAAAGAAGGCAGTAGGGCTGAGTAGGGTGAGTTTTATTTGTCGAGAGCCACTCCTTTCCGATTGTTCGGTGCCCTTTGTGGCCGTTGACAGCTGCTGCCTACGGAGGTAAGTCACATTCGCGTTTGCCGATCGCTCGGGAATCGGGAAGCGAGCAGCGAGCTCGTGTTTAGTCGCCGTCTGGCCGGCGGGTCGACCGTTGTGTTTACTATCGCGACGATTCACGTGACGGTGAATCGAGCGAGAGTAATAACGTGGCCGTTTGTCGGAATGAGATAGGTTGTTTGTGATGATTTCGTGGATGTAAACGTGAATGATATACGTGTACCCGGTATGTGATAGCTAGAGTTACGACCGATCGAGCGATACTGCAAAGCAAAGCACGTGCCGCCCAGGTAATTCACGTGCGGATACAAGAGATTATATTTTGAGAACAATGTTCGCCACGTGCTGTGAGAATTGATGCAAACACGGATGCGCGTACACAAATGTGACCTTCATGTCCATTTCTACCAAATTGCATTACACGCGGATTAACTTTATTAACCTCGCGCATCGGTTTAACTAACTTTTTATCCTTTTCTAATTTTCTTAAAACCGAGATTAAAGTTAATCTGCATTGGTAGAAATGGACATCAATCAAAAGCACTAAATCTGTGAGATTTTGAAATACTTATTGAACTGCTCTTCAGGAATAGCCATTTATTCGGCCGTACATTGCTCCGTGAAAAAAGAAGATTGAGGTGTGTGAGGTAGAATAATTCTAAATAAAAATATTTATATTTCTTGCTCTTTAAATTAATTATATTTTGTATATAAAATTATTTCATTATGCGCTAATTCCGTCATTATCGAAGTATGTTGGCTTTCCTTGTAAGCAAAGGTTACGAACACAAGTTACGAAAACAAGACATAAAAAAGGAAAACAAGCATGCTTCTTCTAATAATCATGGTGAATATACCGGGTGTTCCAAATCGCCGAGAACAAATCTTGCGACAAAATTCCTTACTTCCTCCGATGCAGAGTTCAAAGTTTTTTTTTTTCTATTTTCACGTTTAATTAACGCGCGATTAAGTGGCGTGCAATTTTACAACCGCGGGTCTTCATCGATTTCCCTCTTCATATATTTACGACTCTTTTCAAAGAAAGATAAAGCGAGGCGCGGCCCAAGTTAGGAGTAAACTTTCGATCATGCGAAGCAAACAACGAAGTGAATGAAAACAGAGCGTAATGAAGTGCGACAAATGGAATTAACCAGTCAGGACGATAATCGCACGACGCACACACAATGTATACATCATCAGAGTCTAATATAATATCCTCCCGATCGCTATTTTTGGAACAACACGCCCCACTTAACGTGCACGGCGCATTAATAGTTTGTTTTATAGTTCTAATGTATCAAAACGAAAGAAATTGACGACGATGTTGTGATTTAGCAGGTGCATACAAGCTGGACGAATCGATTCTTGTCAGCTGAGAACAAAATTTCTACGAATCTTGATATTATCGACTATATCCAAACGTATAAATAATAAAAGATACATCCTTTTTATTTTTGTAGCAGAAAAATTTACTAATGTAAACAAGAAATTGTTTAGGTAGAATTTAAATTGTTTATTAAATTGTTGAAGTAGAACTTAAATCGTTATCCAAATTAATTTTTAATTATTAATCAAAATCATTTAGGATTATTATATTTCAATAAAAAGTTTTATTATTATACGCAAATTCGATTACATTGAATATTTTCTTTCGTGATATTTGTTTTTTCCTTTAATTTAATTTTATTGATGCGTCGCGTCTAAACGTGCACGACAAGTAAATTACCCGATTCGCATCGATCATCGATACGTCATATAAATCCCAAGGGATTTTGCTGATTTTGAATACTGAAATCTCGAAGCGAAAATATTGTAAGCGCGAAGAACGGAATAAAACGGGAGAAAAACGTAGGAAGAAGAGGAAGAAGTAGAAGCAGAAAAAGAAGGGGCGGAGTTAAATCGAGTGAGTTAGATAAGAAGACTTGTGGTGCACTCGTAAAGGGTACACGCGTCAGCGGAGTTCGTCAGTCTGCGGACGAACGTCTGCCGAAATAACGGGAACGGTTCGAAGCACCCGCGTCCCGCGTTGACCGTAACAATATTTACAACACTTGCTGATAAATACGTGATTAACGCATAATTAAAAAAAAAACAACGTAACATTAATCTTTATAAACAAGTCAGTGGATAAGTCGCCAGTGACGCTATATACATGGAAGAAACCAAAATTCCTTTGTGCGAGGATGAAATAAAACTCGTAAAAAGTAGGGAAGAAATGAAAAAGTTACAACGGCTAACGTACATAATGTAGACATCTGAAAGTGCATGTTTAATTACGAGAAAAACGGGCTCGTTCGAAGAAGTTGAATTGCAGCGATTAAAGGACGATTACGAGGAAAGAAGAGGATAATTGGGGCGAATTGTTCGGAGATAGCGGTTTAATTGGACGCCATAAAGTACTACAGTAATTTCTGGAGGAACACCTTTCGCGCGGGTTAACAATAGCTACAATGTAGCGTCACGAAACGTATGAGCGCCCTGTCATTCGAGACCAAAGTTCACGTTGTTGCCGCTCACACTACAGAGGCATAGAGGGATCAGTATTCCGAGAAGGTCACAAAAATTTATCGTTATGACTAATGGCGCGTTCTTAACGGGAGAGCCAGCGAACGTGAAGAGATACGGAAATTAATTGATGCGGCACGCGCGATAAAGTGCGGAATATACGTTCTCGAGGGGTGCGTACCCCCTCCGGCCTCTCTTGCCGCGGCGAGAAAATTTCAGCGAATTAACGGAGCAGATAGAAACCAATGAATGAAAGAAGGAGTAACGACAAGTGTAAACGAACGCGAGTCGATGAGGAAAGTTAGCGCGTTTAATTGCGTGCGGTGCAAGGGTCGCGGCTGTTCCGCGAGAGATTAGGTGAATTAAAAGACTTTGAGCGGAATCCATTTTCCAAAATTAATCCGGAGAACCATTAATTAAATAAATCAATCATCACAAAATGTTTTGCAGTTCTTTTCTCTATTATTTTCTATTTTCACATGTTTTAATTCTCATTAAACTGTGGGAGAAAAATTAGAAGATAAAACTTAAGAGCAGGACGCTTGGAATTAGAATCGTATAGAATAATCTTAAAAAATCTGAAACATATATCTTAAAATAAAGCGAATTTTTTTGTATAATGTGTTTTCTTATTTTTTGTAGCGCGTACGTGAATCACGGCGATCTTTGATTTTCCGAAGAATGCGAAGGAAAAAGGATCCGCGCATTCGCTGAAAGATGGGGCACTTTGCGACAAACGACACGATCTTCGCTACGGGGGATGGAGATTTCAAACCATTTACGCGATCCGTCACTATCGTCGCTGCAGCTTGCGCTATAATATTCAGCATTATTGGAGTATTAGGTTTTATATCCCTTAATCGGTTTAACGAACTTGAAATCTTTTGTGAACAGCGAACTGAATCCTATCTCTCTGAATTCCAGGCAATTTAATAACGGTAATCGCACTGTTAAAGTATACCAAACTGAGACGACACGCCACTACGGCCTTTGTGATAAGTTTAAGCATCTCCGACTTGATTTTTTCCGCGGTAAATTTGCCTCTAACTGCCAGTAGATATTTGAACGAAGCATGGGTTCTTGGCGAGACTCTATGCACTCTATTCCCCTTGTTCTTCTACGGGAACGTCGCCGTATCTTTACTCAGTATGGTGGCTATTACTATAAACAGGTAAGATTCTCCTCTCCTTTGAATTTTGATAAAAAAGAAATATGTGTATTTTATATGTATTTATAAAATACACATTAATATACACATCTAAAATATACATTGATGTACAAAAATATAATACGTTATAAAAATATGCATTAATATACACTGAGAAAAGGTGTTATTAATTTTACATTATATCTTAAAGATATAGCTTGAATGTATTGAATATACATTTTTAGAATACACGCTAATAGTTATCTAACTAAAATTTTGTTCTCTTTTCCAGATATATATTGATCTCACAGTCGGACATTTACAACCAGTTATACACTAGTCGCGGCATAACGCTGATGTTAATAGCCATATGGACTCTAAGCTTCCTCATGCTGCTGCCGCCCTTGTTGGGCATCTGGGGTACTCTAGGACTGGATCCGGCCACCTTCTCGTGCACGATATTGAGGAAAAACGGCTCGAGCCCGAAGAAGTTCCTGTTCGTTCTGGGCTTCATCGTACCATGCGTGGTGATCAGTGTTTCGTATCTCTGCATATATTGGCGCGTACGAAAAAGCCGAAAGAATTTGGAGGCTCACGCGGCGGAAGGTAGACGAGGCGGCGGATTTCAACGGCGGGAGGACTCCAGAGTGACTAGACTGATGCTCACTATATTCCTTTGCTTCCTGATGTGCTTCATGCCGTTGATGCTGGTGAACGTGATCGACGATAAGATGAAGGTTCCGATACTTCATATAGTGGCGTCCGTCCTCGCATGGGCATCCGCGGTGATAAACCCTTTTATTTACGCCGGCACCAACAAACTGTACAGGGAGGCGTACAAACAGGTTCTGTGCCCCGTTTCGAGGAGGACACCCACGATCGGTCTCAAACCGACGCCTTCTCACTCGAGCAAGATCTCGTCGCCCAATACGATATAAAAATATATTTCGTTCCGGAAATAATCGATTTGCTTTAGATTAACGATGACGAATAAAAGTTGATGCACGATATCATTTTCTTTATCTTTCATAAGAAATTAAGTGTTTGATTAGTAAAGCGCAAGATTATGGAAGAATAAAACCTTTTTTTTACAGAATTTAACTGAAAATGTGTTAGATTACGAATCTTGAAGCAATAGATATCTGTTTGATTAAAATTTTGTATTTATTGATTAAGTTTGTGTTAAAAAGTAGAAATTTTTCTTCGCCAAGCTAAACTAATAGATAAGTGTTTTATTTTAATTTTGGATAAGAAATATAACAGCAGTACGAGAAGGAAAATATGTATAAAAATGTATTTTTTGCCTTAATATTATACATAAACATTATATCATAACGTTATAATATAATGACATATATTTTTTATTAAAAAAAAGACTTGCATAATACAAAGTATACAAGCTTCTATAAAAAAAGGACGGAACATATACAACAGAAAAGTACGTCATAATTGACAAATTAAAAAATACGTATTAGTAAAATCGATATTGCAACTTAAAGCAAAAATATGATTCATATGGCATAAATCATGTATGAAACATTCGAGATAAATACTTAAAAGGAATAATAACATCCTAACGTCTTCAAAATATTACATTTTTTTATATTCAAATGTTATTCTTCGCGATAATTTTGCTGATTATTTATCCATTTAAAGATACATGCGTTAGAGATACGCGCGTATTAATTTGGTAATAATATATTTGTACTTTTGAAGTGACAGCATTATCTCAAATAAGTACGACAACATGAATATTAGTAACTAGAAGATGTTATAAAAATATTATAGATCACAAAACCAATAGGTAAAGTATTTTCTCTGCCCTGGTACTGGCTGTAAATTAAAATCTCATGTAAAAGATTGACAACGGATTTGCGAACAAATGTAATGTAGAAAAGTTGAAAAAATAAAATCATTTTCTACCATAATGTTCGATTATATCTATGTAGGTATTTATAATCTTTTATCTTAACTTCGTTACTTACATACTAATCTCAGTTATTCTTCTAAACATGGACGGAATTAGTATGAGTGCCTTCGTAACATTTACCTTACGTTGCTTACATTAATCGTAATAAAATTTAAGTTTGGGATGTCAGAGATAAAATGCGGATATGCCACATAAACATACGCATACATTGGTAACGATAAAATCTACGAGATTCTCGTGAACACAATGAGATATTTACAACCTTCGATATGTTACTACGTAAATGCAGATATGCAGTCTAAAGATACGCAAATAAGAACGTTAATTCAGCTCCAGTTCCGGTAAGTACGGCTCCGTGATTGCAGTGATAGGACAAATGCTCAAGGTATCCTACAAACAAAGAATACGCACATGTAATAATATTGCAATACGCAAATAATGAATAACAATTTTGAGTAACATGGAATCGAATTTTTCGTTTCTTACCAATCGTGCGAGTTCGTCGAACGTCGGCCGCTCCTCAGGATCGTCTCGCCAGCAGGACGACATGACCTCGTAAATCGGGTCTGTGACGTCCAACAATTGCGGTAGCCGGACACCTCGCGTGACCGCGTCCTCCACCTCGCTGTCGAGCGACAAACTCGAGTACGGTGTGCCGCCCATGCTGAACATCTCCCAGAGAAGCACGCCGAACGCCCATATCACGCCCGGCTGATGTTTCTTCTGATTGTCGAAGCACTCGACGGCCGTCCACCTCGCGTATTTGACGTCCTCCAGGGCGTACTTGGCGATACCGTGACCCATGAGCTTCGGCGTCCAATCGCTCAACAGCCCCACGCTTCGCGCACAGAGGCGACTGTGGACGATCTTATGGCTCGCCAGGTATTGCAAGGCGACCGCTATCGAGGACGAGATGGACAGTAACCGATCTACCGGGAACACGTCTCCCGATCGCGCGCTCAACAGACGATTCTTCAGAATCTGCGGCGGCAGCTCCAGCACGACGTAGAGCATGTCGGTGGTCTCGCAGGTTCCCACGAGACCGGCGAGATACTTCATGGAGCCCGCGCGGATGCACACGTCCAATTCTCTCAGCATGTGCTTCTTGTCGGATCCCTTCAGGCCGCCGTCGGCTATGGTGTGCACCGTTACCGGACAGGCGCCGTCGTCCTTTAAAACGGTCCCGGTGTGCACGCTGCCGAATCGTCCTCTACGCACGACGTGACTGTCGACGGACAGGGCGTTTCGCGGTATGCTCCAGACTTTCTTCTTCAGTTCTTGATAGTGATTCACTCTCTCGGGGATGTCCTCCGGAATGTAGCCCATATTGTCCACCTCGTACACCGGACCCTGCAGCGTGAGCTCCTGCTGCTCCGGCAGCTTGCGCATGTGAAATCTCTCGTGTCGCCGTCGCAGCACGAAGTACACCAGTATCGAGGCGGCGAGTAATATACTCAGCAGCGTGATCGCTATGCAAAGCACAAGAGCGGTCGTGTCCATTCGATTCGTGGCCGTCGTCTCACGTTTGAACACGTTATTCGCCAAATCGGAGTAGGAACGTTCCACGTTCGTTCCTATTCGCGAGATTATCGCCAAACCGACCTGCGCGGAAACGTAGTGGCCCTTCAACGGGACGTTGTAGTAACCACCGATCATCTTTCCATCGCCTACGACGAACTTTTTGTATCTGTAAAACTCCGACGGGTCGAATTGCGCGGTAACGTAATAATTTAAGCCCTGCTGCGACGCGCTGTCGTAGTTTGAATACTCGACGAGAGAGTCGACCGGAGGTATAGTGCCAGCCTGCGCAACAACAACCTGGTACGCGCTGATCGGTCCGTACTCGCTGTGACCCTCGGTAAGCTTAACGATAATCGTGCTGTCCCCGCGTTCCAGTATTTCGGGCATGGCGGGCTTGTCGGGGGGACCTATCAGGGTCCAAGCCACGATGTACGCCGGATCGCTCGTCCCCTGCATGTTGCTGGCGGTAACGGATATGTTGTACGTAGTGCCAGGCTGAAGACCTCTCAGAGTCGTCATGTTCGTCGCACCGCCTTGTATCTGACTCTCGATAGGTGGCAAGATGTTGCTCGAGTAGCTTTTCACGACGACAGCGCGGACGGTGTAAAATGTCACGTTCCCGTTGGGTATGTCTGGCGGCTGCCAGATTATCCTGAGAGCATCTCTTTCCTCCACGACTACCAGTATCCTCCTCGGTGGACTTGGCCCTACAAAAGATACATGCATATCGTTACATATTGGAGATTTCACTGTATTAAGCGCACGTAGGGGATAATCTTATATCTTGTCACATATGCACAGAGTACGCTCGGTCATAAAAGTTACGTTAAGTAGAGAATCGGTGTCGCTGTGAACCATACCTTGCTGACCGGTAGCGTAAACGCTCATAGCTTCGTAGCTGCCGCAATAGTTATCGGGATCGGAGGCGCAGAGGACAGTGCAGCTGCTCGACGGGCCGTCCTGGCCGAATTTGCTGACGCAGTAGCACTGCTGGCCGTTCATTAGCGCCGCGAACCTGTCGAGAACAAGGAGAAGATCACAATCCTGAGATACCCCACTCGAGACACCGATCTCGAGCACGTTGCTCTCACTTACATGTAATACTGGGAACGGCATTTTTCGATGCACTCGGCGGGCGTGCTGGCGTGCGCCAAGCCCGGGACGGCTAGCCCGTGATCGGAACTCCGGAAACAACCCTCGTACTTCTGAGCGCACGCGAAATGAACGCCGCAGAGGAGCAAGAGGGACGCGATTATCATTTTGTCACTTTGCGAACGAATTTTATTGCGTTTCATATTAATTGCGAGTCGCGCCTCAGTCCCGGCCACCCTTCCGCGTCATAGCGTTTATGAGTTACACGTTCGGAATGTGCAGGCACGAGCAGGTATGAGTCAACGCACACGACGCGGTACACGAGGGAAAAAAGTTACGTCCGTCTCGACGAATGGAGATGCTGGTCTGCCAATAAGTCACGAACGGTTCCTCTCGCGTCGTCGAATTCGCTCATCTTCCCACGCTCCCCGGCCTATAGGGAGATACTCATTGACGAGTAAACTGGAGTAAACAACACCTGGGGTCCACGTACGCTCCCATTGTTTCGAGTGCTATCACTCGCGGCATTCACGCGAGCCTTCGCGTCAGGTGCGTGCCAAATCGAAAGAAATCGGAGCAAACGCAGGGATGACCATTCTTTTCAATCCTGATGTCGTGACTGACGTAACAATTTAACAATCAAAAGTAAAAAAAAAAATTATTTATGTGACATATAAATGTTTATAATTTTTTTAATTCAGTAAGTTAGCTATTATTTAGACTATTTTATTGATGCCATTTTATTATGCAATGTTATATTACTGTATAACTACATTATTATTTTTGAATTCTTATTTATTCTGGGGTATTGTTTGATAACAAATCGATGACTTTTACGAGAATTACGCAATTTCAATGAAATAATGTTTAGGTGTGCTCAAATCAATATAAATATCTACGAATACATATTAAATTAAATAATAAATTTGATTCCATTTTCACGAAGGAGCGTCCAATCAGATTTCAACCTAGGGTCTGTTTTCTGTTATTGAACTGGCTGCACTATTTCAGAGTTTATCTTTTTCCTTCCAATGTGGAGTAAAAAAGATAAACTCTGAACTAGTGCAGCCAGTTCAGTAACAGAAAATAGACCCCTAGATTTATGTCTCTAAATTTTATAATTTCGCGTTTCAATAATTTTTTAAATATTGTGCCTAGAAAAATATATTAGAAAGAAAGAATTTCGTAAAAGGAGATTTGTATCCACAAATTTCATTTAGGCGACGACGCCCCGTACAGTTTACGTTACGGCCCTGCATTATCCGACTTCGAATGGCGTTGCAGCGGAGGAGGTGCAGCTGCACTTTTATATTACGCATTGGCTATTGAGAAAAAAGAGGCACGATTGAATGGAGTTCGCGTCGATAATCCGCGTGAACTTAACCGAACCAATTAAGATCGAAGCGATCGAATAAACGTCGAATAGACAAAAAATAACTTAATTAATTAATTAATTAATTAAAAAATAAAGAAAAAATGGCAGGGCAATAACGAGAAGAAATTCACAGAAACCGGAAGCGAATTCGGTCCGGAACAGATTTTCGCTTGCATAATTCATATGCAGATCGAAAGAAACCCTTGAAAGTTTCATCGTTTATGATATAGAGTAATTTAAATCGACACGCCACAAATTCCCGCCGCGAATAATTACGATCGAGGCTGAAGAAAGGACTTTTCGGCCGGGCACAGATAATTGCGGGTTGCGCAACGTTCAAGGTCGCGCTAGCTAGAGGTGTTCGAAGATTACATCTTAATGATAGCGTGTTATCCCTCCCCTTTCCTTCTCCTGCCCGACTCTCTCTCTCTCTCTCTCTCTCTCTCTCTCTCTCTCTCTCTCTCTCGTTCTTCGGGGCGAAAGACCCCTGTATCGATCTTCAAGGCCTTCAACGCTTAACGAAACTGTTCGACGTCTCCGATACTCCTTCACCCTCGCGAACGTTATTGATCATACATAAATTATGCGAATTAATTAAAAAGAATTGCAGCACGAGTTCCGCGAGTCCCAAGAAAAACAGCGAAATGGAACATGGCAATAAATTTTCGCTCCTCCTGCGTGCTACAATGACGTACAACGTCGCAGTATTTCATGCATCCTATCGACGAAGTGTCATCCGCATTTTAAAATTCTGCCGTTAACTGAATTTTTAGGTCAATCGTTACGGTGTCCACACACGTGCGCCCTGTAATAACTACTATAGTAACGCCAAGGGTGCCACAGGGTGGCTTGATACAAGTTCGGGTTACATTTCGCGCGTCGGCGTCTTATTTGCATCGCGATTAATACTTTTATGCAAATGAATGCCCGATCCGTGGCCAATTGTACTCGTGTCCGACCCCAACGTACGTGTACGGTAGCTGCATTCTTATATCATGCGTCTTATTCGTGAGTATCTCGATCGATCGGCCCTGCGCGCGCGTTATGGTCTTCTCTATTGATAAATTATAATAACGATCGTCGATTTCACAGTCGTCGACTGGGAGACATCGATGCTGCCTCCAGCAACATCGAACGCGAACTTTGCGACTCCTCTCTAAATAAACATTTCTGCTTTAGGTGTATATATTTAAATGTTATAAAAATAATTACCGGACGCGTCAATACAATTTCCATTCAACCTAACTAGAAACTTTTATTTATTGTGCGGTTTTGATTTTTTTTTTGATCTTTTAATTGACTATACAATCATTAAGGAGCTTGAAAGATAGTCGCTGAAAGATAGTCACAACCGTGATTGACCGTACTTTCCGTACGCGCCTCGAGAGTGAGGGGCACGGAATCGTGAATTTTTTCCGTTGAGTGTGTGTAAGAGCGTGAAGGGTGAAAGAGCGCAGGTCCCTCACGGCTGACCGTGTCGACCGCGAACCCAAGAAAATGAACCCGAGGCACCAAGGGTGAGCGGTGGGCGGACGGTTGTGTGGAGCAAAGGCGAAACGTAGGGAGTCACGCAAAGCAACCCCCGTGAAACTGGTGGTGGCGGCTCGCGAGGAACCGCCGCGGTACTACGTTCCCCGGCGGATACCAGTCAGTCTGCAGGATGAGGCGCGCGACGTGTCTGCTTTTTGTGTCTACCTTGCTCCTCGTCCAGAGGACCCACGTTAGCCGCGCTCAGAGGACCCATGCGCGACAGGGTCTCAACCGCGAAAGCCCGACCGTTAGGATACCGAATCAGGGAATCGTCCTCGGCAAAGAGGTACGACATCGTGTTTCAATTTATCCCGGTCGGTCGGTCTTGGAGTTTTACACATTAGTATACTGAGACCTGTCATCCCGCGCTGTCGAAAGTTGACAGGAATTTAAATCCTCTAACGAAGGTCGTCTACGAGCAAACAACTGGTTTTATGTCTGTTAATTCGGGTATTTATTTCATCAATTTCGCTGGGTTTTTTTAAATTATAATTCCAAAAATAGAGATATAAAAATACTGTGTTATCAAGTTAAATATTTTTGCATTAATTCAATAAAATTCATTATCATTAAATTAAAATCGTTTGTAAATATACAGTCAATTTTATCCCTCACAGGTCACACTTACGCCACAGCGCATTGGGATCACACTGGGTCTTTTTTACCCGAGCGATTTTGAAACGCTTGTAACTTCAAGTCTAAGCAAGCTTTTGGGACGTGTTTTTTTTTTAAATTCATCGCCAGATTCTCAGAAATACGACTGTTTAGTTTGTTTTGCTCTAAATTTTATCCTTTTTTTTGTATTTTGAAAAATATGAAGACTTTTTTTTTTTAACTGATTTTTTTTCAAACTGTTGTTTCTCCTTTAAAAATTAAAAAAAAATAAACTTTATAGGTGGTTGGAGATATACGCATGTGTTGAGTTGGCGTCGGGTAAAATCGACCCAGTGTGACCTGTGAGGGTTATAAACGTAAAATAATTTGCGTCCAATTTTCGCTAATGCGCTGGTCCCTTTTCTAATTTGATAGCGAAACAGTAATTGAACTAATTCGTTGCTCTTTTTATTTTAATTCTAGAAACATTAAGTAAACGATGAATTAAACTAATTAAAAGTAGGATTATTTTTAGTCCTCGATAAGTGCTTTTTTCGTTTCATCTTCTGTGTACTCTTCTGAACTTTAGATAGCCGTCAACTCGGTGAGATTGACGCAGTACCTCGGTATCCCTTACGCGCAACCCCCGGTTGGCAAACTTCGCTTCACGCGACCGGTGACAGATCCTCTCCCCTCTTGGAACGACGTAAAAAATGCAACGCAGTTCGCGCCGTCCTGCCAGCAGGCTTCGGGTCAGCTTAAATTGCACGAAAGGCTCTACAAGCGATTGCTACCACCGGACATGCCCGATCCGGGATTCAGCGAGGATTGTCTCTTCTTAAACATCTTCGTCCCGAGCGAAGGTATATGCGTTCAATCGTCCATGCGGACTAGAGTTGTAATTAGAATTTATACAAAATTCTAATTACAACTCTATAATTGTAATTCTATATCGGAAGTTTATTTCAAAATTGTTTCAAATTTCTTTTAAGCATGTATTTAGACTAAATTTAGATATATTTATTTTTAAAAATATTATTTTCGTTCCGGATTCTTAACTTATTTTACTCGTGTTCTCTCCTCCGGAAAGAATTCAAACGTACAAAAGGAATAACGAAAAAGAGTCAGATTACCTTCGTCAGATTACATTCTCGCAGGCAGGCTGCGATTTTTGCGACGCGAAAATTTTTTTTCGCGATAAATATAATTGACAAGGAGAACGGTGGTTGATGACAGTCCTTGATACTGTCAACATGATATTTCTTTTCTGCGCGAACTTCGACAACGTTAGGGCACGCAACACGCGGCGAAGAAACGACGCACGGTCAACGGCGAAGTTCGTTCCCAATAAAGTGCGAGATAATGCTCGCCCTCGAGTTCTCGGAGACTGATTCTTATCAATTCTTATCGTCCGAGAGAAAGAGGGTGATTACGGTGATTACTCGCGGGAGGGGGCGAGCATTATATACCAGCGCGATCAGATAAAAGTGGACCAAAGCAAAAAATTAATAATGTGCCGTGCGAAGTGTTGTGCGGAGAAGATTTATCATGTCGCATAAAAAGTATAAAGGTGAACATTCATTATGTTTATTACTCGATATGATTGACTTAGATTAGGTAATTCTTCCGTGAAGTTTGCGTATCGTTCACGCTGTGATGGTTCTCGATGATTATTTCTTTCAAGATTTTTTTAAATTATTCGAAAGACTTATTCCATTTTACACCGAGAATAATACGACCCTGAAAAATATATCGTCAATAAGTAAAGTAGAAAAATAATAATAATATTATACTGTCTTTTTAATTAGTTCGGATACAGAATTACCTGAAATGTAGCAAGATATAAAGAAACGCTCTTAAAGAACTTTAAATGAATAATTTCAAACTTTAAGAAGTTATTTAAGCTTGCGAAAAAGCGTTTACGTTACAATTCTTAATAGATTTGTCGAAAATAACATTGTTTTGTCCTTACGAAATGTATTTTGTTTCATAAGTTTGTCTAGAAGTTTAATGCAAACCCATTTAACGTAGATAAACATTTTAATTGCTTTCGCATTGCGCACTGTGTTTTTCCACTTGCCCCAGTCCTACCCTAATACAAATTTAATGAGGTACGACGAGGAAATATATATATAGAGCTTTAAGAAGCTTTCCGAGCTCAAATATGCATACACAAGCGAAAAGTTCAATGGGTGAATGGGTAAAGCTGAATGCAAACCAAAAATGCAACACACTTCGACCGTCATTGATGAAATCGTTATCGGGAACCGCTAAACGGCGTCTCTCTCTCTCTCTCTCTTTCTGTCTTTCTCTTCCTCAAAAGAGAGGAAAAAGAGAAGGAGGTCTGATCTCGGAGTCGCGAAATCGTGGCACAAAACCACGTATGACGACGACAACGATAGTCGGGGTCGATATATAACGTAGGGCTGGCAAGAGTAGTAACAGTAACTAGCGCGCCCACGGTGGCACGCGATCTCCCAGGGCCTCGGTCTGAGATGCGGAGATACCAGAAAGCCGGTCACGAAAGCTCACCCTCTCGCTCTTACCTTCTCTTTTCGTTCCTTCGGTCGTCTCTCGGCGAGGAAGTCGTTGAATCGTCACGACTTGCCGTCGTGAGTCATTGATTCGCGTAAGAAAGCTATGTACCGGATACGTTAGCGATCGGAAGCTTGCGGAAGGTCCGCGTCGCGCGACATTGGAGAAATATCTGAAACCCATTTCGTCCCGATGACATCGGTAATGCGAATGCGGAAAACGCCGAAAGAAATATGTATGCAAGTCTGCCAAGGTCGTCGCTAAGAGACCGACAGAACGATAACGCGGGACGGGACGTCCGTGTTCAGGAAACCGCAGGGGGGCCAGGGAATCTCCGTACCGGTCCCCGGTGTTATCGTAACATGCCGGGTTGGAAATAGAATCTTCGATATGTACGAAATTATTCGCGGTGGCTTCATATAAATTCTCTCTCCCACTCTCTTTCGATCTATATGATAGAATTGCAATATAAAAAGAAGGAATAAAACTTCGCTCGATTCGCAGCCTATTTTTGGAGCAAGTCGAATCTTAATAAAACATCCAAGTTTCCTATTTTTATATAAAAGAGATGTTTCTAGTTCAAGAATAAATATCATAAAAGAAATGATATTAGATTCGTCATTGCTAATATTGATTTCGTCTATTTCCGTTAATACGATGTCAAGGGAATTAGGGCTTAAGAAATTGACGATTAGTTGGGGGATAAGGGTTATGAGGTATGAGCAAAAAATTAGGGGAGAAAGGAAATATAAGTGGATAAAGAAATATTGGATGGAAATGGAAAAGAATGAATAGAAGAATGCGTACAGTAAAGAAAACCTACAATATAGGAATGGCCGGAGTACAGAAGCTTTGGAAGTTTTAAGAGATGTAAGGGTGGATTTAAGGAAAGAGCTAATTAGCAGAGATTTCAAAAGAGCAACAAATATATATTAGAGGAGGATAAAACGTATGTATATGTTTTGCGGACAAGGGAGGGATTAGCCAGTAAGTAGCCACTATAATGTAGAGAAATGTAATAGAACCAAGTATTGCATGGTTTATGGAGTTAGGTAAAAATAAGAGAAATATTAGATAGAATATGGAATCTGGATAGCGTAAAAGGGAACGTGTTGAGGAAATTATGGCAAGAGAAAGAGACTATTATAGAGTAAGAAAAAAATAGGTAGTATTAATTAAGTTCGATGGTTGCATGGATGGTATGACTGTGCTAAGTAAATGTTGTAAACCAAGTCCACTTCTTGAGTATAAGTTGAAGTTAATAAATTATTAATAAATTATATTTCCGTTAGTACTTGAGTGATCCTAAAAGAATTCCAACTTGGATCGTCAAGGTGGATCAGACCTGTCTAAATAGCGAGTGCGATTAAGCTCGCGTGCAGCTTACAATCAAATAAAACCGTCTTGTTAAGTTAACATCCCTCTTTCGATGAGTTGATGGCTCTGACAGTTAACGAATATTTCATGTGTGTAGGAAACCGCCAGGGTGACCGATGGCCAGTGATGGTTTGGTTCCACGGTGGCGACTTCAACACCGGAACTCCAGCGATCTGGGACGCCTCTATATTCGTTAGCAGACAAAAGGTGCGATTGCGCGCTGTCGCGCGGAAAAATACCTACCTTGCGAAACAGCCGGAAAATCGGAATACGAAATTGAAATTAACGTAACTCGGTCGGCGATCTAATCGATACCGATATAATCACGACGTATTGGAGGAGAGAGGATGATTAACGTGTATTTTTAACGATGTTCATTCAATCAACTTCCCGGACGGACGTAAAATCGAAAGGAATCGAATCGGACCGAGCATTTTTCTCTGCCTCATCTCGCGTGCCGTCACTTCGAGAATAGAACCGCACCCTTTGATATTCGGCCGCGATGCATCATTAATGGAGCTTTCGTTACACATCGTGGCGTAATGCGGTATATCGTTTTACGGCTCTTGGGAACGATTCGCGGTGGGGAAGGGAGGAGGGCAAATTGATCGCTTGCATGGCACGAAAATAAATCTCGAAAACTTTTTCGGTAACGATTGCTCGTGAGATTTTATCGCGCGCACGCTAAAAAAAAAAAGAAAAAGAAATGAAAAGAGAGGAAAGCCTACAACAGTCCGAGAGATTAAATGGGGGTGACTTTTGCGGCCGGCAGGTGCTAGTGGTGACGGTGGCGTATCGATTAAACATCCTCGGATTCTTCACGACGACGGACAGCGAGGCGTCCGGCAATTACGGCATGTTCGATCAGATCGCCGCCCTTGACTGGATAAAGCGGAACATCAAGCACTTCAACGGCTCGCCCAGCAACATCGTCATCTACGGCCACAGTTCCGGCGCGATAAGCGTGGGCCTGCACATGCTGAGTCCGCTCAGCAAAGGCAAGTTCCACAAGGCGATCGCCATGAGCGGGGACGCCATCGGTTCCGTCGGCACGCTAGACAGGGAGAAACCGGTCGTGGACATCATCGCCGACAGATTCGGCTGCGACCGACGACCGAGCGGCGCGCTGATGGAATGCCTGCGACGGTTGCAGGCCGACTTCCTGATCAAGCACTCGTCCGACATCGAGACTTGGGGCCCGATTGTGGACGCAGAGACGAACAACGAGACGGAACCGTTTCTCGCACAACATCCCAAGGACATCTTGGAAAATGGTAATTGCCGAAGTGACTCAATAACAATTATATGACGAGTCTTTAAAATCGATTTTCTAAAGATACGCGAAGATATCTAAGAAGTATATGATGTAAGTGTAGTATCTTCTAGAGATGTGTGAATCAAGGATTTTTTATATCGAATAAACAAATCGACAAAATTTCATTTGAATAGAAGCGAATTAAATTGAATCGTTGAAATATAATTTTTAATTAACAATATATTATTATTAGATTAAATTTTAACTCGTAGATAATAAGAAATATTTTGATATAAAAAAAATATAATATTGATTATATAATATAAATTCTTTTTAAAACAAAAAACATTTAAATATTTAATATAAAACTAATAAAACATGCTTTATTTAATGTCGCAGTTAACTAAACAATTAGGCGAAAAATCGTAGATAAATTATTAAAATACTCCAATGTAGTATCCAATAACATTATCCAATTGCATACATAGGAATTAAAATAAAATAATATTAGTTTATTTTATTATTAATACTTATACTGTAAGAACTAATCATATTTGACTGCAACTTAGCCGCTCAGTGAGCGGTTGTAACACTGAATGCACCTGTTAACATGACCATACAGTTTTGCTTATTAATGAAAAATATGAGATTTTATAAAATTGACAATATATATGATTCGTATTTAAACCATCTAGATTCGAAAATTTTAAATAGTTCAGATTCGAATAGTTCGCAAATCTCTAATAATCTTTTTTTTACTGTAGGACTTTGTCTTGTACTTCAACACTGACAAAAAATCTTAGTATTGATCTAAAGATACACCAAGATATTTAAGAAACGTACTTAAATAAGTCTTAAATATTTATTCTTTTAAGAGTTTGAGTTTTTAAAAATATTCTCTTAATCCTTGTATCTCTTTCGGTATAACGATTTAAATTTAAACCTTCCCTTAACTTTGATCAGGTAACTTCAACGCGGTGCCACTGATTGTCGGTTACACGAATAACGAGCAAGTTTTGGCGTACATGGAGACCACCAGCGGCCAGAATCCAGAGGGCGGACTCTCTTCGGAGAACTTCGAGACGATGATCACAGAAGAATTTACGGCGGCGGTACAGACTCCGGATGATAACAGCACCTGCGAGTCGAAGCCCGAAATGGTGACAAACGCGGTGCTGTTCTTCTATAGACCGTACCCATTCACGACGAACACGACGGTGTTTCGCGACAGATACCTGGATCTGCAAACGGAAAAGAACTACGCGGCTGGCCTGACGTTGCTGGCCGGCAAAGTGGCGAAGGGAAGAACGACGGCTTTCGTATACCGATTCGATTATCGTCCCAAAACACAACCGGTCGCGAAGGACGTGCCGGAATGGGCGGGCGTGCCGCACATGTTCGAGCTCCCGTTCGTCTGGGGTTTGCCGCATCTGATGGGCCCCGGCACGACGCAATGGATCTTCAACGACAAGAAGATGTCCGACGTGATGATGTCGATGCTGGCGACGTTTGCCAGGACCGGGGATCCATCCTTGATGAGCGGGACAGGATCGATCAAGTGGGAGTCCTATACGCAGGGCAATCCGAGAATTCTGATAATTGACAAGAATGTAGAGATGAACGAGCCAGATGCGGTGGACTACAAGGCACTGGCGTTTTGGAACGAGTATTATCCGCAAATCGTGATGGAGGCGACGAACAATTGTTGCAACGTCACCAGCACGGCGACGACATGGAGGATATTCTTTCGTAACGTGTGTCTCAGCGGCGCGATGGCTACGTTGGCGCTGCATCACTTCTGGTTCTAGCTACGGTCACAGCGTGAAATATTATAAATACTGAATTTAAAAAAAAAACGTGTTGCGCTCGCTGTTGTATATTTTTTAATAGACCAATAACGAAAGAAGACGAAACGGCGTCGTCGGATTTTGCAATTTTATAACAAGATCTCTTCCCACACTCTACTTTTTAAAAGCAAACGCAATAACAATCTTGTTATACTCTTGTAGAATATATGTATATTTTCGCGAAATTTCGCATTTTCTCGTGTGAATAGATTCTGCGTACGTAGTCGCGATAATTATTTCACAATGTTGTACGTATTTAATTGAGAGTTCTCGCACTCGTACGTCTGTATTTATTGCGATATGGTAATCGTATTAAAAATTTCCTACGTTCACATTTGATATCTCAATTACATTGCGTATATCACAAAGTTATTTTATTCCGTTCTTCTTATCTTACATGTTACTTGATGTAGATTATACGAAACAAGGAGAAATTATCTACAGACTAATCACGTGAACGGCTGAACATGGTTCACAAATGAGACAAAGGGGGCTCGGAATGAAATAAAATGAAATCCAGGTTGCATTACAAGAGTAGAAAACTTGGGCCCTTTTTTTTAACATTCACTGATTTTTTTTTATTATTTGCCTTAATACGGAGAGATATAGAAAAACATACTTTGTTTGAGAAACAAACAGTTTGATAACTTATGAATATTTTGATGATCCGATAATAATTAATAATTAATTAATATTAATAATAATAGCAATAATCATGTTCAAGTACCATCTATGTATAATTATTATATTATATAAGAGAGAGAGAGGTGCGCGGCGAGAGCGCGATGCATGGGGGCTGGTGGCTTGCGCACGCGCACGTCCACAAACGTTTCTTTTTTTCTTATCTCTTCCTTTCTCCGAAATATATACTATTAATTAATCATTTTTTCTCCCTTCACTTATTCATGCAAAACTTCTACAGTGATAACCGATGCTGCGGGGTCTCGTATCCTACTTTGTGCGCCGTTGCTTGCGCGTGCACACGAGCCATCCCGGAACCAATGTTATATACAATATTTCCTTCGACTTATCGCTGCGTTCCCTTTCCACGTATCTCTTCGTTCTTCGCTCCGCTGCGTTACCTTGTGCCCTTATATGCCCTTATTCTCCCGTTTCTCTACCATCGTTTTACAACCATTCGGATTTCAGTACCGTAGACTCCCGTTTTAACCCGTTGCCTAATATTCCGTCAGCCCCCTCCTCCTCTTTTGTCATTAGTATCTTTCTTGTCTTATAACCGCTCCGATCCGTTTTTTTTTTCCACTGGTATCCTCGGATTTTCATGTAGGAGAATATGGGCTCCGCCACATATACCTTACAGAAGTAGGCACAGCGATTTCTTCTTCTGCTTCATCTTCTTCTCTGGCGATTTCTTGTTTATTTGCCGCACCAGGTCGTAGAAAATCTGAAAGCGAAAGATGACAAAGTTGTTAAAGCTGTGTGTCAACTGTCAGCTAGAACTCGATTATTAGCGTTGTATAAAATATTGTGCGAGCTAACCAGTTATTTTCATTAAAATATATTTAGCTACGAGATTGTAAAGCGCGATTTGTAAAATGCTCAAATCAGAATAAATGGAATTGTGAGTTCAACTTACATCGCGAACGTTAATTTTAGCTTTGGCAGAGGTCTCCATAAACACACAATTGAATTGCCGGGCAAGGTTGACACCCTGATCCTTTCCTACTACCCTCTCGTCCTCCAGGTCGCACTTGTTACCTACTAGCACCATCGGCACATCATCCGTGTCCTTTACCCGCAGGATCTGTTCCCTGAGGTCTTGCAGGTCGTTGAAGGTTGATTGTGCTGTTATCGAATACACTAACACGAAGCCCTGCCCATTTTTCATATAAAGGTCCCTCATGGCTGTGAATTGTTCCTGCGAACGGACAAGAATAATAACGTCACTCAAAAATGTAATTCGTATCCGTTGCAATCGTAAAATGAAAGTGAAAGTTACGCGACGCGTTAAAAGATAAGCGAAGCAGCGTGTCTTCGTGCTATTTCATGTTGCTATTGAAGAATTCCGTTCGCGTTGCGAAAGAAAATAGAAAATATAAAAGAGAAACAAGACAAACTCATATATTCAGGCAGAAATGGACGAAATTTCACATCTCAACAGTGCATTCGCGTATTCGAGGTGAAAAAACGGCAGACGTGTGTTACGGAGGAAGATTACTTACCGTGCCGGCTGTGTCTAGAATTTCTAACATACATTGTTGACCGTCGACCTCGACTTGCTTGCGGTAACTGTCCTCGATCGTCGGGTCATACTTCTCTACGAAGATTTCCTGCACGAACTGGACAGTGAGGGCGGACTTGCCTACACCTCCGCTGCCCAGCACCACTATTTTATATTCGCGCATCTCCTTTGCCCTACCTACTGCCTATGGGCCTGATCACAGTCGAGGGGTCACCGAATCCGCCACGTTTTGCCTCGATTTGCTCTCAGTGAGACGGACCTGAAACAACAATCGTGCAACCGTCCAGTTAAAGGCCACGGACATTACACAACGGGTTAATTTTAATGACACACCTTCCTCAGGACGACTCACAGCCTTTATGACTCAATGCTTTTTACGCGTATATACGGTGATTTCACGCGAAATAAAGCCAAGATCGTATATACACGATTATGGTAAATTACTAGGCTCGTTACATACACACGTGCAAAAAGGTAATCATATTCTTCCACGAAGATGTAATAGTCTTTACAATTTCTAATCACATCAAGTTAAGAATTTATTAAACACAAAAAATTATTCATATAGATAACGTCGAGAATGTAAACATTTAATAATTGTATTTAAATACATTTAAATATAATTAAATGTAAAAGAGACGTTGGCTCAATTTTATGTTATTACATTTCGGGGTGCGTCGTTCAAGTTTTAAATTCAAACTCTGTACTACGTAGTGTCTCGCGAAATAAGTTTTCTCTTTTAAGCCGGCTTCCTAAAGCCGAAAGATTATATTGCTATCGTGCAAAATTCAGGCATCCGGAAACGGAAGCGGTATGGTTAATTGTTTCACGGGAAAGCAATACCATTTGCTCCACAAAGTCACGCGTTGCGTCGCGGCTCGTGTTTTGCTTCGGCGAAGCGCGTTGTTTCGCGCGACGAATGGCAGAGCGAGAGGGAAAACGCGGACGCCGCAAATGGGATGTCGATTGGTCGGCGGTGGCATCATGGCGACGCGCCGCGGCCAATCGAGGGCCGCGGAATTCTTTGCGCCAATCCGTCATTGATTTTACCTTATGAATGGACCTGTACTGATGAAAGCCGCCGCCACTCTCGGACTTTCGGCACGTTACAGCGTTTGATAAAGTTACGCCTCTCGAAGGCGTAACGTTGCTACAATGCAATTTGAAATTTTATAACAACAGACTCCTCTCGATGTTTTTTATGCATGAAGGAGAACTTTTAAAAAACCTACACATCGTATCCAATTTTCGTCTGCGTTTCTGTTTCGACAATTTGAAACAATTCAAATTTTTCATCGAAATTGCATTCAATATTTTTATTTCTCGGTTGGTTATTATTTATTATACATATATGCATCGAACGCTCTGAAACCGCATTTAATTCCATTTGTTTATTTATCGTTATTTTCATTTACCTTGTAAAGAGAATTGAATTTTGTTGGCTGGCTATCGTTATACGAGAATAAGCAGCTTTCTTTCGTGAATACTTAATATAAGGTGGAAATATACGGTGGCGTGCTTCTGAATAACTTCGTATGAGGTATCATTCCGACCGGGTTGATCGTGAATAAATAATTCGCCGAAATGTCACTTGACGAATTTGCGAAATCGTTATCTATCTTCGAACGGTCGTAAGTCACCGCGACGGCGGGCCGACTTCAAATGTAGTTCCCGAACACACATGGCAATCTCTTCGAGAAAGAGGCAGGCAAAAGCTTTTGCACTGGAATGGAACTTGAAAGTTTCTCAGTATTTTCTTGGACAACACGCTTTCTTTTTCTGATCTTTACAGAACGAGATTAACCACGATTACAATGTTTCGAGAAAAAACGAGCACGTTGTGGGCAAAAATGAGAACTCGTGGAGAGGAACACGTACGGCAGGAAATAACTTCGTTATCTTTTACGAGCGTATCTTTCCCGGAAATAGCTCTCAAGCTTTTTTTTCTCCACGATTTTCCTTGCTCGCCGCGATGTACTCCGATCGTGTTTAATTTTTCGCCAACTTTCCTCTGTTCTCCAGGCCAAGCTTGCGGTAGCGTTGTTCTCCTGTAAGTTTGTTAACGAAGACCAAACAGTATCTATAATAACACGACGTGCCGATATCGCGAGGCAACATCGATCCGGATATTTCGCGGAATAATGGGCTCCGCGGGAGAGAGAAGCACGGGTCGCTCGTTTATAACTTCGTTATAACGTATTTACAATCCGCAATTTCGTTATAATACGCCGCATACGGTACAATTTAGTGCGCCGTGAATTAATGGGCGTCGCACAAGTGCGGGCACGTACGTAGCGGGCAACAAGTCGACGTTCCAGGAGTAACCAGGCGGATCGAACTTTTAGCGCTGCTCCAATTTATCTCCGCGACCAAAAAAAATATCGAATACAAAGCTACAAACACATATATATACATATATATGTATACACACACACACACACACACACACGGTTACAGACTAGAAGGAAGCTCGCCCAGAGCTCTTCTGATTTAGTTATCAAGCTTTGACATGGGACAACGGCGGGTAAATCTCCATCCGCATCTTCCATCCGAGATTTAAGACTTCGTCGATATAGAAATCGAAGGGGCTGGCCTTCCCAAAACACGTACACGTGCGGGTTTTCTTCGAGAAAAGGGAAACCTCCAACCCGATTTGCGCCCTGTATTCATTTATCTCGAAAGATAAAGGTAACCGCAGCGATGGTTTACTTTGTTAAGAACACCCGAACTCTCCGTACGACGTGATATCAGAGGATTGGGACGTCATGGAAACCGAGACGGAATTCTGGCGAATTTATACACGATGTACAAAAACGAAAACGATCGCTTCGTTCGTGTTTTGTGGAAGTTTACAACAACTTGCGAATTCTTGATCTTGAATTTCTAACCTTGAGATGTCATCTCTCATCTGTTCTTTTTAACCCTTTTTAACCCTTCACGTTCACGTTCATTTCTCTCGACTGTCTCTGAGCATCCACTTGTTGACAAACTCGTTTTCCGTGCGATACGCACGAGGTTCTTTGTACGTTTATCTCGCGCTGGAAGCTGGCTCGAATGAACTTTGATCAACCTCCGTCTTTGACTTTAATTAAGCGTATTTTACTGCCAGGAGATGTCAGACTGTGACAATTAAAGTCGCTAAACGCGGGAATTAGAAAGCAAGGCTCCTCGCGGAGTTTCTCGTTCTCGTAACGTACGTATTTCAGCCGTACAGAAAACGCAACTCGCAGAGATAAATGTTGCAGTTACGTCACTTCGCGCTGTGTAATTTTTACTGTGTACTCGTATGTGAGTAATTCGTCATTTACCACTTTATTATTTCCGACTCATTGAGGGTCAAGTTTTGAAGTTTTCCTCGTTCTCTGCACTGTTAAACAATGTTGAAGCATGAAATTTAAACCCAATACCTTGAGTTAATAATAGCATTTTGTTATTTTTAACCAACATGTAGGTGTGTCGAAATTTATTATTTTAACACAAAAGAGTATTATTTTATAACTCCATTAATTTAGTTAAATTAATAATATTAGCAATAATAGGAGCAATGACAATCTATAAAAATGGTTAAAAATGACTCAAATTGAGTCTAATTTGACACTACGAATTTAACAGTCTGATGCTAATTGTAGATCTTATTTTTCAAACCGTCGCGTCGCATTTCAAGAATACAAGATTATAACAAGCAAGCACGTAGTCTTTACTTTTTAAAAATTCAGGATCAAAAAGATCATAAGATATTTAAGAAAATATGGATTCCCGAGAAAAGACGGTCGCGCTCTCCGACTCCGCTGATATCTCCAGTTAAGCTTTCTCAGCTTTCTCACTCCTTACTTCTGCCAACTCCACGATCCTCTTACGAATTTATCGGAATGGAACGAAATTGACTCGACCTTGCGCGCGTTTACGATCTGCGTCCCGCGAGATTTCCCTCAAGATGTTCGCGTAAGTACTTCGCTAATCGCCGCAGACCTAAGACCGATTTACCGTCGAAACGCCGACGAAAACTCGTTACACAAAGCTCGCGTATAGTCTCGTGTATGCCTATACGTGTGTGAGGGTGTTTTGCAGCGTAAACGTGCGCGCATACATGACCCTCGCGCGCAGCTGACACGTACATATCGGCGAGTGCTACGAGGCGCAATCGCCGTTGTCGTACATCCCGGACGCGTGCAAGGACCTGTGTCTGTCACGCCCGTGTGTGTGTGTATGTGTGTGTGTGCCCGCGGTGCTTTACACACAGAGCACAGGAGGGATGTATCGCACACGTATGTACACCGACGCGCCGCCAATCACTTTGACCTGTAAATACGTTATCTGCTCCAGCGACTCCCGATACACTTGATTGCACTCGGTCACCTCTACCGACATCGAGTCACTTCACCCAACCGGGTCTTTACTCCTCGAAGGCGAAGCGGGTATCGTCATCGACGTGCACGTCGCCCGTTGTTACGCACGCACGCACACATGCATGCATACACACATACACACACACATATGCCGCGAGAGCGTCGCATCACGTCGCGTCTCGCTCGGAAGGTGGAACGACCGAAACCAATCATCGCCGTTGCGGGAGACACCCGACCAGACGCGATGGATTCAAAATGAAAGCAAAATAAGCCCGCGATTCAGATCTTATTATTAACTGCTCCGCAATTCTTTTCTCATCGCGTTCTTCGGGCGATTGAAATCCAGAGCTTGCACTTTCATCCTCGTACCTCACATTCGAGGCAGACACTCCACAAATTATAAATTATAAATTCGCTCCACTTGAGCGCGACGATACTTAATCGTAGCACGTGTAACGCACGTATTTATGGAGCCCGCTTGTCTTTTTTGGATCTCGCGTTTCAAAGATTGGCTCTTTGAAGCTTACAGATCCATTCTCATCGCTCTGATTGCGAAAAACCTATCGGTGCCTTCCCAAGTTCGCTTACTCTACCTCAGAGACCGTGTGGCCGATATTTTCTGTTACGCGACTGAAGATTGATCGCCGGAGAAAGAGAGCGCGTCAAAGACGGGGCGGCGAAAAAAGCTTTGGAAAGTATCGGTGCGAAACGCGGTCAATCTCGCGATCTCGGAGGTCTGGCTTGCGCCGCCGCGCCGTGGCTGCGCGGCTGACGGCGTGGACGTGCGCTTAGGGCACGTGTGTGTCGAAATGGACAATACAGAAGGCGTATTATCAATCCCTCCCGTTGCGTCACGCGTGATATTAAACGTAATTTCCAAGGATAGCGTGGGCCCCGCTGCTATCCTTGCTCCAGAAATACGCGGCGGTATATGGCAGAAGATATATATATGACGGAATGAAGCCTTAATATCAACAGGCATGTTCGGCGATCGTCTCGAGCAACTTGACTATCGATTATTGATTCATTCAATTCTATTACCGCGTACGAATCGTGGAGACTGTAGACTGTAAGCGCGACCGCTGATGGCCGGTTGAAGGAGACCTCGATTCGAAATTGAGAAAGATGGCGAGGATAAGGTGCGGTATTCGCGAATGTTTGATCACTTCGTTAGCCTGAAGAATTCTCGAGCCGGAGCCTCGAGGTAGAGTGTCCTTATCGGGCGCTGACATTGATACGAGTAAAAAAAGGAAACTCGCGCAACAAACTCTTCTATTTATACTTCCCGTATATACCTTACGCACGGCGTAGTAGTCGTTCCCCTCGAATCTTACACGACGTATGATTCCCCCGAAGAGGGAAGTCCTTCGTGCGCGGGGAGAGCTATGAAGTTGGAAGGGTAAGCACCTTTCTATAAAAGGCACATCGCCACGACGATGATTGCAAACGACCTGACGATATGAGAAAGGGGGAACGCGCGCGGCAATCATTCTGCAATATATAGGGCGTCTTAGAATAACTACTGTCGTCCCGGTCTACCATTTCGAGATGGAGCATGGAGCCTTCCTTAGCGAATGTTGAAACGTTCGGCGAGAGTATTTTGCGCCCGATTCGTTATTTTCAGATTAAGATATAATAATAACGCGACCAATATAGATTTATTTCTGTACTACTCCTCGTATCGTTTTTACAATAAAACATCTTCTATTTAAAATGTTTACAGCATAGGTCAAATATGTGTGTGATCGAGCTTTGTCGCACACGCGAAAAATATTTCTCAATGATATTTTTCTCGTTAAGCATCTTTAAGTTCCTTAACGTTCGCTATACACAAACGGCTAAATATAGAAAATCACTTTCATTTAGGTCTACGTCTCGGTAAGTCCGTCTCACCTCTGAAATGCCCACTGAAGCGGGACGCGTGTACGGAACGATCGCGGTGGTGCCTGCAGGTTTTATCTCGTCTCACAGATTTCATTCCCTATCGCCTGACGCATGCCACGCGCGTATCACGCGAGAGAGTCGCGTTCGTTCGATTATCGGGCCTCGGCGGGCGCGGCGCGGCGTGTGCGCGTATATATCACGTCTCTCTTCGCAGGCATCCCGGCAATCTGCCAGTCCGGTTCGGTTTCCGGTTTCTAGGCTACCAGTTTCCGGCCCCCGCGCCTCCACAGATCGGCCCGCGGCCGCGCGGACTTGTCTGTCGCCAGGGGGGGTCCGGAGACGCGCGTGTGACCCAATTGCTCGCCTCGCGCCGACTAACGTTTCTTCAACGTCTCGTCCCGTGTGCGAGTGAATTTGTATCTCTCGTGTCTTCCGTATCTCGACATTAATTCCGCCGGGAGTTAATCCTGGGATGTATAACGGAAGCTATATGCTGCGACGTATCTAAACGGAAACACCATAAATACGATTTACGACGAACGTTTAAGATACGAGATGGTAAAATAAAATGACAATATCCCTCTTTCCTATAAATTTCATTCACATTCTATAATTTCTTGAAATTTTATTTTCTGGATAATTCTCTTAACTCTACGCTTCAATATTATCGAACTATTCTCGCAATTTTTTTATTCAGGCTCCATACCGTAAATGAATTTTTTTCCTTCATACGTTGCTCATTCGTGCTGGTTTGTGGACATTGGTTCCATCGGATAAACACGGTCAATCAAACAGCTTGTTGCAGTGGTATGTCGACGTCGAACATTCATAGAATTTTTACCGTACAAATAGTTCTGCGTTTGCCATTGAAACACGATTTTATTGCCACAACATGATCGATTGTTTGCGATCAATCGGCCGTGTATTAGTACATGCACGCTAGACTACACAGATTTTCGCCAAATATTGTTATTAATGGAATGGCACGCGCCAGACGGGCAGTTGCCAAGCTTAAAATCCGCGGATCGAAGGAAATGAACAGGAACGCTTGCCAGCTAGTGCATGTTCCTCTGCTGTCTCGGCCAGGTTCGATTTGACCCATTTTTCTGTTTAAAATATAGTAACTCCGTATAAACGTTGCTTTTTATTCTTTCATATTCCATGCTCCGTGAAATTAGTTTCTAAATCTAAACGAATATTTGTATAATGCGAAAAAAATGGAAAAATATTCAATTAAAATTACATCGATTAAAATTATATGTATAAGTGCTTATTTAAATTTAGACCTATACAAGAAACAAACGAAACAGTTGAATAGAAGTTCAGTTAAACAGAAGCGGTTCAGCAACCAAGTTCTATGAAGCGCGAAACTGTCGCCTCATCGTCAGAAGTCTCAAGAAACTTGTGAAAGCCGCGTCAGGCTTCGTAAGTTTCTCTTCTTAAAATATCACCTAAAGCTGTAATACTTTAATGGAGCGGCGAGATGTGATTCTTAATTACCGCGTACTGAAAATGCACTGATAAAAGAAACTTCGCCCGTAAAAAACGATTTGGTGCGCAGATTTTTGTACGTTTTGTAAGTTTTCTGTTAAATAATAAAACAAATCCTTGGATTGCCGGTTTTCACCGTGGAAAAGCTATCGGTATTTTGTCGCATAGTCAGTGTGAAGTGATCAATAGAGTCCGTAAATCTCCCATCCAGCTACGAACTTTTTGCGATAGTTCTCCAGAAAAAAAAAAAATATCGCAGAAAATATCCCGTTGTTTGTACAACATCCTACATAGCTATATCTGCGATAAATAATATCTGCATAAATCGATCGTTGTTCCTTTGTGTGTTTAAAATTATTCATATTAATATCAAGATATCCCCCTCTCCCCCCACGCGCGCATAATAATTTATTTCCATTATACCGTGAGATCGTACGTTACTAATTCCGATTAGCGTAGCTCGCCCCGATTCACAAGTGCAAACAGTGGAGAAACTTATCTTTAACTTCACTTTAATAATCGAATAAATAACTAAAGAATCTCATTTAGGAATTAATGTCCCGTTTCTCACTCGCATGTTTCTCATATACTTAGCGAGCAGTCACGAGGGTTAATCCTGTGTGAAAACGTATCGCATTTGATTAACAGAGAGCAAATTGCGTGCACGTACGTTGCGCAACAGTAGTTAAGCGACATTCACACGGAACGCGGTCGCGAGAGAGAGAGAGAGCAGCCTCAGTTTTATTTCTGTCGTTGACGCGGCGTTACAGTCGTGGTAAATAGTGGCAGGCGCATATACACTCGCAAACCAAACTACGCGATACCGCAAAGACAATGCAGTAGTGCTGAAGCGCGCATTATCATATAGCTGCAGCGATAATCGCGCGGGACTTGCCTTATCGTGCAGTCAGCTAATTATCCGCGTGCGCGCGTTTCTTCTTTTATAATACCTCCGTTGTTTAACTGATATACTCGGATAAATCTAGAATCTAGAACGGGCAGAGTCTCTGCTCTCATTAAAAATAGTGTAAACTCCCCCGAGAGGACAAAGGTGACACGATATCATTGATCTTTCCCAGTCGTAATGTTCCTTTCATTGGCCGCGCGTGTCCATCCCTCGAGCGAAAAGCTAAAATCGAAGGAACTGACCGAACGGTGGTCTTAACCCACTATTACTCGATTATCGGAATCTGATCCGAGAGAATAGAATTTTCATTAATTTCATTAGTTTCGTCCAGAAACAAGTTTAAATATTGCCGTGGAATTTAACTAGATTTCAGTTTTTACTCCATTTATCAATTTACTCTATTTATTAATCGGATCATTCAACATGCCACCGCAAAACGTTCAAGAGTCATATATCGACGTTTTTGCAGCGTGAGAGAGAAAGAGAGGCCGGGGAGGATTCTGCACGGGAAGGACATACGATGCAGATTCCCATCGCTGCATTAGACAGCTAATAGATGGTCCCAATGTGTCAGCTACCGTTTGACCGCGTGTAACATCGCTGTCTGAAACCGATACGAGGTCTACGTCGTGTCTGCCGGTGGACGAACACCGTCGTTAATTACGTTAAACGCGAGTCCCGAATTAACTCTCGATAATTTCGGGATTTGTAAGATTGACGGTGAGATATCAAATGTCTCGATAAATTTCAAACAACGCCAGAATTGGTAATTTCAATTACACGTTCCCCCGTCTCCTACTCCCTCCCTGAACGATCCAATTTACCCGCGTTGCACGTTTACGCGTCAACGTAGATATAGACGTGATTATTATCGTTACAGTGTGGCGTACAGACGCGTGCTCGAACTAATGCGGCCAATTACCTTCGCAATTTAAGTTGATCGCGTTAATTATCGCGGGCACACTTTTATTTTCGACAAATCCCCGACGTGTTTAACGCGTTAGTAAACGAGAGCCAATTAAATCACGCGCTTCGCAACTTGTTCACGGTTACGCTACGTCAAATTGTTCATTTATCACAAGAATATCAGGCCCAGATCTTACGATTTCTTTTTCTCTAATAATTCTTGCTTATAATTGATATTCCTCGAGGCTCTCTCTCTTAGCTAATAAATCCCGAATAATCCTGTATAACGCTATTTCAATTCATAACGCCTCGCGTTTCGAATAATTTTACGCGGAAAGGCAGAATAATGTCGGCAGAATAATATCCCGTAGCCTCTTCTGCGGGAAGAGCCTACACATT